TGGAGGTGGTATGTATAGTTTTCTAGTCAGTAGGGTGACACGCAGTAGAGAATGGTGTTACGAATAGCTTAAGAAGTATAACTCACATATCCTCACTGCCACATTATAGCAGGCTAGCTGGAATACAAGCTGGTACTTCGATGTAAGAGGGTGGCAGTGTGTTAATTACCTTAGATATGTTTGCCACACTAAAGTCAACATTTGTGATTTAACAGGAGGATACTAAGGTAAACTCCGATTCATTCAGTGGATTTCCATTTGTTGATGAGGCACAATTGTTCATTAAATAGTTCAGCAATAAATTTAAGATCTTCGTACACGTGTTTGTCCTTAATAAATATGTTGCCTCCTCTCAATTTTAAACATTCAAGTTAATTTTGAGGGAGTTTGATGAAAGATAGTCATTGTTAGGTTTCTGTGCGACTACTTTCATGTTCATATCGCCTCTGCCTTGACTAATACTTGTCTGGCTGTAAGTAAAGTGAAAAAATCATTAAGGATCTGGAATAAGGTGTTGTGTCTCCGAGTGCGTCTTCGTATTCGGACGGGTATGTACTGATCTTTAGAAAGATCAGGTCCACAGTACCCTAAAGGTGTGGTTGTCAAAGATGTTACTGGTGTTGTAATATAATACTTTAGTTAATTTGTTAGTATTGTTACCTGTAAGAGAGTTCCCCCAATCAATGACCCTTAGGCAATTTCGGAAGTTTTCCCAATCAACCTTGGAGTAGTCTCTACGGAGTGTGATAGCTTTATGTTTGTTAGTCGTAGCTTTTATCACCAAGACTGCAGATGATGATATTATGGTCACTACTTGGAAGCGCCTTTGCAATGGACAAATTATTGGGGGTAAGATTAATGGTTAGGACTAGATCCGGGTTATTATGATGTCTGGGAGGGCTACCGATATATTGAGTTCACTGCACAAGCGCTTAGTACTCATGAGATGATTCAAAATATTTCAAAGCTTTAACTGGAGACTGGGAAATCGCAGGCATGTTGAGGTCCGCATAAATAATCTTACCTGTGAATGGTAGGGATGATCATATCTGAACGCGGGCCTCGACAATTGGAAACTAGGTACATGGTGGCCAAGTAAAAAATTGTATGGGCTAGTATGTGGCGGAGAATAGTGTGTCAAATGAAGCAGGAGGGAAATTAACTTATGGTTGGTAACCGATTGCGTCTCGCCTATTTTCAGGCAGACGTGCCTTTCTGTTGCACTGTGGCTGTGTTTACGAGTGGTTGATATTTCAATAGACACGTCACACGGTAAAATGTGTGCTACTTATGTAGACATAAGTAGTATATGACGTGAGTCGTGAACAGAATGTCTGGCAGCAGAGAGACGAGAGGATCGAACAGTAAAGAATGAAGACAGAATGCAATTTGTATGAAAATGCAAGAACAAAGGAATCCTGAGTCATTTGAGACAATTGATGGACATTTTGCAAGTTGAGCATTTAATATATGGTTGTAAGATTTTACTAACTAGTTCTGCAATTAGTTGTTAAATGCATTCGATTATCCCCATTGGTGTTCTTTTTCACTACAACGGAAGTACTTACATACTGTAAATGCGCAATGAGCAACTCGATCGGTAGGTTGGAGTTGGAATAAATCCCCACATGTGATGCGTGTAAGTTTGGGATTCAATTAGTTTCTAACTAGCTACAACTATCCAGTTAAGAGTATCACTCCAACCAATCGATTGATAATCTTAAATCGAAGGTTGTTTTATCTTACCGGGTTGCCAATGTTACAAATGTCTATTAAAGAACCATGAATATAGATTATAATCTTTGTTGATTGGTCAGTTCTGTTGGTTCAGCTAGTTAGTTGAGTTTGAATATGAATCACCGATGAGATAAGAGAGCAAATTTTCTCGGTAACCAACAAACCTACGTAACATCGATAGAAATGACGGAAAATAAGTTTAGAACGCAATCGTAAAGATGATGGTCATAATAGATTACGTCATTATAAGTCTTACCAGTGCAGATCACCAACGTAGGTTGACTGTGTTGATGACTCCGAGACCTACTCGTTTCGGATGGGGATGACACCACCAAATAGCTCATTCTGAAGTCACACCTCTAGGTTGACATTTTGCGTGGATTACGCTTCCAACGTATTCATTTACTATGACCACTTTGATGACTGTACAACACAATGTTATTACTAGGCATCGTGAACACGGCTTGGTTACTGTCACACAGGACAGTCTACAGTGTGTCACCGTTTGGTGAACATTGGCTGCCATCAACCTTGACGAAGATGTGTAAACTGACTGATATCCAGTGACCCGACCGCGGGATGTTAGGCTAGAGCCAAATGACACTTTGCTGGCTCTACAAAGTGGATGAAAATTGATGACTAACCGTGCGAATAATGAAAATTACTTCATAGGGTGACAGTGACTAATTTGCTTGCTACATTGTCGTCTGGCTTTCCAAATATTCATGTAGGAATAGATTTGTGTGAGTGCATGATGTAGTGCTATAAAATAAAACTGCTATATGTCCCAACAGAGAATTCATACATACTATCTGAATGGCCTCGGTGTTGAGGTGATCAGCAAACGATGAACAGATGAAATGTAATTGACTGAGTAAATTTTTATAAAAATACAATAAATAATCTATTTTCGCGATCCAACTAAACAACCATAAATCCATCATAATATCTTATGGACCTCATTGTCACTGATAATAATTTGTAAGTATTTCTGTCTCATAAGTTGTGGTAGAGATGTGAGCATGATAGTGTACGTGTGACTATCGTCTTAACCAATTAGCATTAAACTACTCATTCTTAATTCGATTCACAAACTAGGAATACATAATCAATCATGTTAAAGGCAGCCGGAAGCTCTTCGTATATAAATTAATCGCTATTCGCTTGTTCTCGAAAAAAATATATTGGGAAATAGTTTTAATAATTCGAGAATTCTTCACTTCTGCCAAGGCGGTCTGTTTGGATATGTTCGTTTTGGGTCGGTTGATCTCGCTGTCAAATGTAGGTCGACCCCATGTGTTCACGGTGCCATTGCCTTCTTTTTCTCGTATTGTTCCCAATACAAGCTCCACCATTCAGGGCAATATTGATGGACTCTGGACGAATCATAAGACAGTCTTATGAAAACGTTCTAAAGAGTACAGTGTGGCCCCGTACATTTGGATGGAAAGTGTGAAATTCGATGTGTATGTGGTCTAAAAGTAGACAGTTCAACAACTCTATAAACGCAGAGGGACAGAAGGGGGGATACCGCATCTTTCCCTCATGACAGGCGAAAAAGTAAACTGGCTCGTCTTCCCATTATTTCCCCCTTATTTTCTAGAAGGAATGTCCCATTTATTTCCGCGTTGCCCGCCTTTATTTCCCTCCTTTGCATGTTTGAGGGACTCGTGAAATCTTTTAGGTTTTGGTTTTTTGTTAAAATAGTAATTGGATTTTCCCATTTGTATGTCATGGGATAATCCCCTTCCTTAGATGAACTCCCAAACTGTTGACTGAGTTCGCGGTTTCTGCCCACAATTTCTACGAAATATTCGACAGATCTACTACCAAGATTGATTAATAATGTGGATAAAGGTCCGGTTTTTTAAGTTTCTGTCGTTTTGATAGCTTAATTGTGTACTAATTACCCCAGTTAAGATTAGCTTTTACTTCTCTACCTCTGGATTTTGGGGAAATTCTGGGGCTTTTTAAGGTTTTCACAACGTCTTGAGGATTCGTGGTTTCTCCCGATGTCTGGAGAGATTTTAGGGAGACTAAAATAGGACCATATGTACAGTTTATACTTACGTTTTCTTTTGGTCTCCACTTGTATACTTTATTCGTACACCATCCGAATAAACCCGACCTGTTTAATCAGTCCCCTTATGTCGCTCTCGTCGACTGATTGAACTTTGGACCTTAAACATCTAGTTAGTAATGTTTGCTACATATGTGACTTGCTTTTCGTTCCATGCAATGTATATTCGGTGGCTATTTGTCGTGGTAGGACATACACCAACAGTAGTCCTTCGGGCTTACAAGGGTCTACTCTGTGCATCCCGGGCAATTTTCTCACTGGAAGTGTGATGAACAGCAGTTGAAACTTACAAAGCAACCGTGGAATTGTTCGTCTGCTAATGCAATCTCCACCATGTCCAGCGAAATCGATATGAGTAATTACCAATTTTATTGAACGATATGTAATCAGTTATGGAAATTCTCCTGGGGAGATGAAGGTCTTTTCCCGAAGTCAGTAGATATTTTGGGTAGTTTCTGGGAAAAGCCCGAACCGAGTGAAAATTTTGGTATTTTCCATCTTTGCTTCTCGATATTCTCTCAAGTTACGTGACAAAACCCATACCTGACTGAACTCTGGGCGGTGTTTCCTTTTTTTCAAAATTTCTAAACAAACTGTTCCCAAGTTAATCAATTTTGCTCCAAAGCTGGGAGTTTTGCGTCTAATAGATTTGAAATCTTGCTAGCACTTCTAGTCAGTTTGTCCTGATTTATTACCTGTTGTTGCAATTCGTTGTTGATTACTTTCATTATTTTATTTAGGTATATTTGATGTAACTAATGAGTCGTTTTAGCTTTTACTGTTCTATTTTCTCCACATGTTACTCTTCACGCTCCTCTGTTTAGCACATATTTGAATCAGTTCTATGGTAACGTGTTTTTCTTAAGAGTGATGTGTGTGTTTTTGATTAAAGTACGACAACTTTGCAAACGATCCCCAATGAGTGTCTCAGATTAACAGCAAGATCTCTGACTTTGGGACCTCTATTTTGGATAGCGAAAACCTATTGAAAATTTCCATAGCTCAAAATAATGTATACGCTGTCATACCAGCCTCTCAAAATCATATATGTAGTAAAAAATTCAAGTTATTTTCTTAAAATATTAAATACCGTCATCTGATTTTTTCAGCACCCGCTTTTTCAACCCACTGTCCGAATGTTAGAACAAATAATATCCACCAATAGGTTATCCTACGTTATGATATGAACATGAAACGGTGAGTGTTTTTGATTTTTTACGTTACCTGTATAATCGACTGTGTATTAGCAGGTCCACCTATATTAGCGAGTTTATCGAACGGCTCTACTATTCTAAGAAGAAATATAAGTCTTCTGAAAGTTTGATCTTATCTAATGTCGGACACACGACTGTGTAGGTTTTAAGACATCCAACTGCTAAGAATGTTTCTTTAAAACTCAGTTTAACCTTCCTAATCTTCCGGAACGTAAGGTAAAAGGTTCAAGTATGGCTAGCAAGTAATGAGGTGGGTTAGTGGTTAAGGCGTTCGACTTTCATTCACTAAGTCCTGGGTCCGAGACTTACCTCGCCTACTTCGGTTTGTGCAACTGGGTAGTTATATTAGCTCCGACACTTAAAGTGTCGCTCGTATAAATGTATTTAAAGAATGCGTTGGTTAAAATTAAAATGATTGGCAAGTGTTTGCTTTTTCCATAGTTATAGCTCCTATAAATTCACGTTTGGTTCTTAAGTTTGCTAGTGATCCTACCGTGAACTAGTGAATTGAAAGGCGATTGAGTGGCTAATTAATTGACTGAATTTTTACTGTAATACACTTCTACAGACTTTCGTATCAATTTGTGCCACTTTTTTGTCGTTGATGTGTAGTCAATGTTTCATGAAATCTTTAAATCACTGATATATTTTTATGTATGTTAGGCCTTACAACATCTTACAAATGAGTTTCTCCAGTTTGATACCTGTCGTCTACTTCTTTTTATTACTTATATTTTAAATTAATGGAGCTATGAACATATGCACAACATTTCAGAAATTCAGGATGCTCTAAATGTTTTGCATCCTTGTCATCTCAATAGATATCCTAGAATATGAATACAAATAGATGTTCACTGTTCTATATGTGTGAATAATTCCCAAAAGACTCGTTTTTATCTCTTGTGTGATTTCATTTTTTAATTTCCATTCTCATTAATTTGAGCAGGGTTTTATTTTCGAATATTATTCAAGTGTGTAGTACAAATTTCAGCCCCCGTTCAAGTAATTTCGTTTAACTGGATGAAATGTCATTTTACTTACTTACTTACTTACTTGCTTACTTACTTACTAACTTGCTTACTTACTTACTTACTTACTTGCTTACTTACTTACTTACTTAATTACGCCTGTTATCCGCTGTGGTGGGGCACACACCGCCTACCAGCACTTTCTTCCCAATACTGTCCTGGGCAATCCTTCGTAAATGCTATTCATCCTTTTCATGTCTGCTTCCGATTTCCGAAGTAGCGTGTTCTTCGGCCTTCCTCTTTTATGTTTTCTTTCAGGATTGCAAGTTGGGGCTTGCCTCTTGGTGCGGTTTGATGATTTCCGTAATCTATATCCTATCCACGTCCAACGTCTTTTCCTGATTTTCTAAGCAACAATACCAGAATGTTTGGAATGCACTTCTCTCCCTCTAAATGCAAGTTGTTGCTTCAGGACTGGTCTGCGTCAACACCTGAACTAAGAGTAGCAGGTGAAGTAGTCGAACGCGTTGACAACTTCACTTATCTTGGAAGTCTGATCAGCCCTAATGGGTTGGTGTCTGACGAAATCTCAGCACGGATTCGAAAAGCTCGTTTGGCTTTTGCCAACTTACGTCACCTATGGCAAAGGCGAGATGTCCGTCTATCAATTAAGGGAGTATTTCAAAGTGTTTTACCCATCTATTCCTTTGTTCCTGAATCTCGGTAATTGTCTTACCCTTCTTGTCATTGACCGATATCTCTGGTTTACTATATTTCCCTGCTAGTTTCTTCGTTGTGTCATATAGCTGTCTCATATTTCCTTCTGCTGAAGCTTTTCCGCTATCGTTGCTCGGTGTTCCACGTTTATCAACCAAAGGACGTGTTTACTGCGCAGCATTTCGTACCGTCCTACTTTATGGCTATGAAACATGGCCAGCGAGAGTAGAGGATATTCGTAGGTTACTAGTATTCGATCACATGTGTCTTTAAAACAGTGCTCGCATATCCTGGGACCACCGAGTAACTAATGCAGTTGTCAGGAGACGGGTACTAGGTAAGGATGGCAAATCAATTGGTGAAGTAGTGAAACATAATCAGTTGAGATGGCTGGGACATGTGTTATGTATGGCCAACCACCGACTGCCCCGACGTGCGGTGTTCAATGGTGTAAGAGTAGGTTCGAGAAAGCTAGATGCGGCCATATCAAAAAATGGCACCAATCCATGGAGTCACTGACAAGTGGACTGAGCCATGTTGGTAGATGTAGACTACTTGGTTGTGGACCGCGAGATGATAGCAACCGATGGTTAGAGACCTTGAACGACATAGCTCAAAATCGTTTGCAATGGCGCAAGTGCATCCACTCTCTGTGTTCTCCCAAATTCTAATCTTCTGAATTCTTCATGTCCCTTCTTTTTCCTCTTTCCAAATTTATTTCACTGGGTTATACTCCTTGAATAACATCTTCAAAGCCTAATCTTTCCGATTACTTCTTATACTCTTACTACCTCTACCACTACGGGATTTGAATTAACAAATGCATTTCTGTGCTAATCTGGTAAGGCAACTCGAACTGATGTATGTACGTACGAAGTTCTACGTTATTACTAACTGACTGTTCCACGTATTTCTGCTTGACGACTCTAATGTTCTTCTTTACTTGCTTGTTTGCTTCTGTGTATTCAGCCTGTGCCTTGAATTTTTTTTTCTTGTTCGGCTGTTGTTAATTACTGTCTTCCTTTCTTGAATCTTATCCTGGGTTTCCATGGAGATTCATTCCTTGTGATTATGCTTGCGGTCTAGAACCTCCTGACATGTTGATGTTAGTGCTTCTTTGATCTCTTTCCAGTTGTCCTCCACCGTAGTTTCTTCTTTCAGTACATCCTGTAAGACTTGGAATCTATTGTTGAGAGTTATCTTGAATTCGTTGAGTTTGTTAGTATCTCATAGGAAGTCTGTATTGAATCTTTGTACTACTGTTTCCCCAACAGTCCAGTGTTTCTTTAGCTTCAGTTTCATCTTGGCCACAATCTGATGGTGATCTGAAGCTATGTCAGCTCCTGGTTTTCACTTTTGCATTGTCCTGAATTTTTTATTGATACAAATATGTATCTTGTTCTCCGTGATGTGATCCTATGAGACCCATGTAGTTGTGTGTATGCGTTTGTGTAGGAATATTGTGCCTCCTATAACCAAGTTGTTGAATGCACATAGGTTTGCAAATCTCTCACCATTCTCGTTCCTTTCTCTCAGTCGTCCCATGTTGTCCATTCCGATTCTAACGTTTAGATCTTCAATCAGGATGGTGAGATCCTTTCTTGAGCACTTCGCTATGATCAATTGCAGCCTCACATTTAAATGATCTTTATAGTCATCATTAATATTGTTGATGGGTGCATAACATTGAATAACGTTCATTGTGATCCCCTCCTTCTTTGTTGTGAATAATGCCTCGATGATTCTGGATCCATGAGATTCCCATCCTACAAGTGCCTTTCGTACTTGTTTGGAAAACACCATAGCATTTTCATCTTCGTGACCGGAGTGCAGTAGCATATAGCCTTTGCTGTCCAACTTGGGTCCAATAAGTTTCGCTGGTTCCGAGTACTGCCAAGTTGTATCGCCTCATTTCCGTAGTTATTTAACTGGTCCTTCCGGTCTCACACATTTCTGGAAGTTCCTTGTACCTATAGAAATTGTTGTTCTGGTTGTTAGAAGGGGCATCGGCCTCGTGACTTCCGGAGAATCTCGGTTTTCACCATGAGGCGTCATAAGTCTTCCTTCAACTCCCAGGTCAGAGTTTAAAAAATTCAATTTGTTTGATCTGGTTGGTGTTTTTTTAGCACGATTTTCTTCTACGTGATGGGGTTGCCGACCCTATATCCAACCCTCCTCCTTTACCCGGGCTAGGTAAGTAATCATGAAGGATTTGCATAACATTTAAGTAAATAGTTGTAAATCGAGGTATTTCTCTTCAGCCTACTTGATAAATAAAACTATCTGCTCTTGATATAATTGAATTTCTCTTAATGACTTACCAATTTTGTAAATAATCCCTTCTTTCAGTTATGTCTTTTCTTCCAAAATTCTGCAGACTCAAAAAATGGGATTTAGATGCAGCTGCTGCTCGTGTACGTCAAATACCACAACCTTACCAGGCTACGTATGTTATTTGTGCTTATAATAGTCTTACAATTCATGTAACGGTTAACAACCCATATTGTTTTTTTAATGATTATAGCAATCGTGAATCATATCCAAGATAATTTCGTGATTTAAGTGTCAACAATTCACAGCATGGTTTGCATCGTTTTCAACCCTAGCCCATGTATCTGAGCCTCTCGAGTGGTAGTCACGTAACTTCTGTGATTTTACAAGTAAGGTTACAGCGGATCAAAATGTCATAACCCGAGAAAAATATATTTCATTCCACCTGTTACAGTGCTGACATGCAGTTACGGACATTTATGTTACTCTTGTAGAATTTTCATAGTTTAAATTACAAATTGATTTTTGTTAGACCACCATTACAAACCTGGAGGCACTAGGTAGGCGTTTCACCGTAGAATGGGGCTCCTCAAAAGTGCCTATTCACAACGCCGCACCCGGAAATCAAACCCAAGATTTTCTGGTACTTCCAGGTTTCCCATGGTGGTCCTATTATGATCAGATATTTAAAATAACCCGTTGTGTCATTGAATAAAAAGAGAATTCATACATTCGTACTTATAGTTATATGGAAAATATATGTCTATAGAAGGATAAAAAAGATTGAATCGTAAATTGATTCGACACTTTTATTATCAGATGAGATTATGCAATAATCAAGGGGTAAGAAAAGAAGATGAGGACGGAAATAATTTTCGGGTCTGGATTATAAAGGACAATTCTCCAATTGACATACTTACTCCTGTTACCCCTCGTGGAGGGGCATAGGCCACTCACCAGCACCAGTCGTTGGTCACCAGATACCATGGGACTGCACTTCCTGACATTGCTCCATTGCCTTGTGGACCAGACCTTTAGGTTGAAGGCTCTGGGTGTGGCCCTTTAAGAGAATCAACTCCTTCGGTCAGGGCACCCGAGCAGTATCATAGCCCACACACAAATCAAGTGACTTGTGTGCTGCACATGTATTCGGTGCATCTTTGTACTAATATTTATGTTCAAATAAGTAAATTGCCTCGGAATGCAGTTTGCTAATTTCGTAATCTATGTGTTATCTACTTTCAACGTCTTTTCCTGATTTCCTCCTGAACTGGAAGCTGATTTGTTCTCTCCCACAGTAGGTTGTTGCTGATGGTATCCGCTCAACTGACGTATATGAAGTAAAAGCGACAAGTATAAAGGTCATAATATTAAAAACTGAATAGTAGTCAAGACAACTTGTTTAAGGTTAGTAATAACTGATTACAATTTAAAATTGGGAAACACTAATTCATATCTGTCAATCGGACAATTGTCCTTCATAATTCAGACCCGTAAATTATTTCCATCCTCATCTTCTCTTACCCCTTGATTATTGCATAACCTCATCTGATAATAAGAGTGTCGAATCAATTTATGATTCAATGTTTTTTATCCTTCTATAGACATATTTTTTCCATATAACTATAAGTACGAATGTGCAGCTTAAGTAAATCATGATAGGTTTGTGATTTCAACTATAAAAGCTTATATTGCTAGTTGCTTTTTTCCCCTAATTAAACTTTCTAACTTGACATTATGCAGATCATTATTGACAGACATTAGTTAAGTAGGTTTACTCGAGTCGTAGTTTTTAGTGATATATATATATATATATATATATATATATATATATATATATATATACAAGATTCTTCCCAATGTTCTCGGACTTTGAGTTTGTATCTCTGAAAAACATCAGATATCAACAATAATAATCCTATCACTATTGTTTTGATTCCTTCGGTTTTCGTTTAATGTGGTAACGTGACTCAATGCATATTTATACCAGGTCCCACCTTGTTTTTGGTGGTGATAATAATCCCTGTTACTTTGGTCAGACTATTCTGTTATTTCATCACAGTCTGTGCTTAGAATGCTGTGAAAAAGCAATTACTCAACTCTTTCAATTCCATCTTAACATCAAAATTTACGATTTATCGCAAATATAACTGAAATGTAGACGATAATTAATACAATTTCAAATAACTTGAAAACATCATCGATAAACTTATCTTTTCCCAATGGTAAAATCGCTTTTCATTCATTTAATGAATAAATACTCACCAATCATTCCTGCATGTCAGAAATTATGTATCCAGGCTGTTTGAGTGTCGTTACCTAGACAAGTGGCTGTTTTGTGGGAATACTAGTGTTTCGCCTAAGTGATTAAGTCTAAATGGTCCTTATGTCAAGGTTATAAACCATACTTTCAAGGTACCTAATTATAAAATTTTCGCTCTATCCGTTCTATCATAACTCTCAAGTTCATGCTTAATTTTGATTTGAATTTATCATTGCTCAACAAACGCGAACAATCTGCTAATTACATTAAGGGAATTACAATTTCTCTTACTCTTTAGCTTTCTTAAAAGATCTACCTTTAAAGTATAGCTAGGATTATAAGTAGTCGTCTGCGAAAAACTTGAATAGCATAATTAACTCTACTAAAATCAAGGTACTTGACAGATAGTTCAACTTTTCTTAAGTGTGTAATTTATATTAAATAAGTCTTATTTCTTTTTAGTTTTTCTTAATGCAACTGTCATAGCAGAAGTTATTGATAAGAATAAACTTAATCTCGATAATGCAATGAGAAGACGAAGTTTATCATTGCATTTTCGAAATTTATCAAAGGGACCAACTGTTTTAAGTAAAGTTAATCGTTTATTTTTCCCTTTTTCGTAGACTAAAAGGTCCAACAAGTGTTAGAAAAATATTCCGTAAACAAGAAGATGCCATTAACTTTGCCAAACAGTTTGGTCAGGTACATTTATTTATACAATAGTCATTTTTAAATACCTGTGAATTCGTTTGGTTGTTCTAGATAATAAATCGCATTCCAAAATAAATCTTAGTGATACTATCTTTTAAAAGTGCTAGGTAGTTGTAATTTGCGACAAACTTAAAGATTTGTTTTAGTATTTACTTGTTATATGGTATTTCCAATTTTTCAAAATATAACCTGTACTCTCACCTATCCTTTTTTATTTTGCCATCATCTCAAAGATTATGTTTCTTTGGCAAGGCAAATCAACCAGTAACCATTCTGTCAGATTAGATCATTCTTGTATTATCCTGAAATGATTGTGAAATGGATCTAAACTGTCCGTAGTAACTTGCTTGATGCATTATCTTTGGATTTTGATGAGAAATTTACGCATTCAATTTTAGAATCGAAGCTGAGTTTAGTATCATAAGTTTTGGTACATGTAGGTATAATAGTTTGTGATTTAGTGTACAGAGTATATTCTTTATTACTAAGTATTAAAGGTGGAGGAAATAGCTACCAATGAAAAGCTCTATAATTTAGTGTTTGAATAATTCAACTGAACAAAAATTGTTCTGTATCACGTTTATTACTAATTGATAAAGAAACTTTTCATTGATTTATTTATAGTTTTCTGTTCAATTAAATTGTGTTTCACTAACTAAAGACCTATCAGTATGCAATACTAATTTTATGAGTATTTAACAATCAGTTGTTCTTAAAGAAAGCATAAACTTTTCAATTTTTTAATGTTTTGTAAGTTTTCATATTAACAGACTTTGGTAAAAGGAGGATTCGGTACACTAAATTACTGATGTGGACATTTGTTTGTTCCTGTAATCTAATCAGTCGTTAAGAAAATACTTATATTTTGAACGTAAGACTTTCTCTTTTTTAAAATGTAGTAATGCCTTAGCAGCCAAAGCACTCAACTTCCAACCGGTTGTCGAAGGTTCAAACCCTCATTGAATGCTTCGGTTTCGGTAGCCAGGTAGTATTAGTAGCCCTTACATGTAAAGGCTCTCATGACTGAGTAAACCAATCTGAATCTACTAAAGATTTATATTACTATTGTATTTTCAAATTAATAAAATAGCTCGGTGCATCATGCACTCATAAGTGTGTTGTAAAACAAAAATCAGATTCACAAGAATGAATAGTATTATCAATTTTGAAATGACTGAAAACATATAATCCTAACCACTGGAGCTCGTCGTGGTAACTTTATTCATCTGTCCTGTAATCCACTCATATCATCAACACTAATAATGTGAGTTCATAAATTGATAAAATAACCTAGGAAGGCATACATAAAATTAAAAATTTCATCAGTTTGTTTTTATTATTTGAGACTTAGTTGGAATTTTGATTGTTCATTCATTGATCGCAAAATCCCCAAAGGATGGTTTAGCTTACATTATTTTTTCTAGTACGTGCACTGTTGTTGTATTGTGTACTTTCAACAGATTTTCGTATACATTTAGTTCACTTTTTGTCTGAGCATATATATATATATATATATATATATATATATATATATATATATATAATTTATTTGAACACATAAATATTGGTATAGGGGGGCACCAAATATATATGCGCCACACAAAACAATGATAATTTGAAGAGAAGGAGAAAAAAATATATATATAAAGTAATGAACGTGGGGAATTATAAAAAAAAAGTCAGTCAGCTGCAACGTAGGACCAGGCACGTATATGCATCGGTCCAAGTTGCCACACCGCATTAGCACAAGAAGAACACCGGATTCATAGAAGTAGTTAATTCAGTGGTGGTAATATATAGAAGAAAGAGTGTGTATAAGGAGATAGTACAGGAAGATAGAATTAGTTCCTAGAAAGAAAGATTTGAAGTGATTTTAATCTTTTAGTTTAAAGGAAGACAGAGAGTGTACACACCGACGCCATTGTGATCGATTCTGAGCCATGTCACCAAGAGTCTCCAACCATTGGTTACGATAGTCACGCGGACCCCAACCAGGTAGTCTGCATCTACCGACATGGCTCAGACCAGAAGTTAGAGACTTCAAGCACTGATGCCACGTTTTGGTTTGGCCGCCCCTAACTTTCTTCCAATCATCCCTAACACCGGTTAGCATTGCGCGTCGTGGTAATCTGTGTTCATGCATACGCAGCACGTGGCCCAACCATCTCAGTCGATGAAGGTTCATAACCTCATCAACTGATTTACCATCATTCCCTAATACCCTGCGTCTAACCTCACCATTACTTACCCAGTGATCCCAGCAGATACCCGCAATATTTCTAAGGCATCTGTGGTCAAATACTAGTAACTTACGAATATCTTCTACTCTTAAAGGCCAAGTTTCGCAGCCGTATAGTAGAACGGAACGAACTGCCGCGCAGTATACTCGTCCCTTAATTGATAGACGAATATCTCGCCTTCGCCATAGATGACGTAAGTTGGCAAAGGCCAAACGAGCTTTTCGAATCCGTGCTGAGATTTCGTTAGACACCAACCCATTAGGGCTGATCAGACTTCCAAGATAAGTGAAGTTGTCAACGCCTTCGACTAATTCACCTGCTACCCTTAGTTCAGGTGTTGACGCAGACCAGTCCTGAAGCAACAACTTGCATTTAGAGGGAGAGAAGCGCATCCCAAACATTCTGGCATTGTTGCTCAGTGCAACCAAAAGACTTTGCATTTCATCAGCGTCTTCACCAAACAGGACTATATCACCTGCGTATTCTAAGTCAATAAGTGGACCTCCTGGTAGGAGATCAATACCTGAGGATTCAGTCGATGAGAGCGTTATTTCCATCAGTAGATCTATGATGTGGAGAAAGTGGACAGCCTTGGCGGACGCCACTTGAGGTTGCAAAAGCAGATGACAGGCAACCCTGCCTAACTCCACTGCTTGAATGGAATAGTGGAGAGAGGTGGTTGTATGCCCTCACTCTGCCTAAGGTGTTTGTGTATAGGGCATTTAGGATGTTAATAAACTTCTCAGGCACACCCTTCTTCAATAGACAATCCCAGAGAGCAGTCCTATCCAACGAACCGAAGGCAGCTCTGATGTCAAGAAACAATACGATTGTTGGCCTTTGATAAGTATGAGGGTGTTCTAACACTTGGTGGAGGGTGAAGATGTGATCAATACATCCTGGACCAGAACGAAACCCAGCCTGCTCCTCGCGAGTCAATCCTTCTCGGGTTCTGAACAACCTACGAAGTATGACGGAAGCCAATAGCTTGGACGCAATCGGAAGTAGACTTGTCCCCCGATAGTTGTTACAGGAACAACGTGAACCCTTTTTAAAGATAGGGACAACTATCGACTCATTCCATGACGTTGGTACACTCTCTAGTTCCCAGACCTTTGCAAACAGCGTCGTCAGTCCCTTAGTCAGAAAGTCACCACCATCTTTAAAAAGAGCCGGAGGTAAGTCGTCTGGGTCCGGTGATTTGTAACGTTTCAAGAGTTGGAGTTCCTTGCGGACTTCCGCCTCATTTGGTGGATCAGTCGTCATCGGCCATGGAGGGCAGGACAGTCTGACCGATGTTGCCGGAGCAGCAGGCCAGTTGAACTGCCCTTCAAAGAATTCTGCCCATCGTCCAAGACGTCGATGGATGTTAGTGATTGGCGTTCCGTCATCCTCGCAGATTGTTTCGCTCACACCAGAGTTCTTGCTGCCAGTGGCTCGGATGAGTTGGAAGAGCTTCCGGTAATTACCAGATGCAGCTGTCGCCTCCAGCTCTTTAGCACGTTCCGACCACCAGGCTTCACGGTCCTTACGCAAGCTTTGCCCGATTTCATTACGTAACATCCTTCGTCTGTGGTCAAACTCACGGTCACCCGGAGTAGACCGACGGGCTTCAATCAGTTGTAAGGAACCAGACTTTCCAAAGACATAGCCAGCCCTATCTGGTGTCCGACCTTCATAAACGTGCGAACGTTGAAGGCAGCCAGTTTGAATGGTGCACGTGGTTTCAGAAAAACTGCTTCAGTACTCATATTCGGTGGTAACATACAATTTTCAACCAGGCAGTGACTCGAGAACGTTTAGCTAAAGCTGAATTTTCACCATAGGCGAGCTGCTGTCTGAGTCGAAACGGATACATAAAGTAGGAATAAGAGAGGGTGAATAAATGACGTGGTAAAATATTAATAATAATAATAATAGTACGAGTCATTTCAATGTTGATCAGAGAGAAAGGAATATTTTCCATAAGCAAATAGTTCATCATGATTTTAGTGCGTAAGCTGAGATACTGCCCGGGTGCCCAAACCGAAGCAGGTGGTTTTCTTAGGGGGCCACACCCCGAGCCTTTGACCTAAAGGTCTAGTCCACAAGGCAGTGGAGCATCGTGAGGAGATGCAGTCCCATGGAAGCCGGTGACCAAAAGTTGGTTCATACGCCATTTGTTCCCGCAGGATACTGGAGCCCACGTGCACCATTGAATTGGATTGGGATCCGGTTATCGCGCCGGACATTCGCTTTTCGTCCTCTCATTTTTGTAAACAACAGTAATGCCACGATAAGGCAGTGATTAGGACTTCCCTGGTAGAGGCTGTGTACGCGTGGCCGTGTGAAAGTATTTCGAGAGGGAGGGCGAACCCTCCCCGCTCTCGGCCATACCAGGGCATTTGGGGGCATATATATATATATGTATGTATATATATTGCCGCCTGTTCGAAAAGTCTCTTATGTATTTGGTGTGTATAGTTATGGATATTTCTTGAAATTATACTTTGGCTTTTTTAATTAACGAGACTAACTCAGTATTCGCATCGCGCCTTTAATATCAACCTGGTGACCATTAATTTTCGTAATGAATTCTAAACTCGTGTGTCTTGTAATTTAAAGTAATCAATATAAATCCAATTCTGTATTTTATTCTTTTTTAGTTAAGCTATTTGGATATATTGCTGTTTAATAATAGCATTATATATATATATATATATATATATATATATATATATATATATATATATATATATATATATATATTATGGCTTACTTTTTAACCAAAGTCTTCTTTTTATGCTGTTAGGAAATGATGGTATTCAGTTATGAAAGCTTATCCCTTGGGAATGAAGGTCAGCGTTCATTTTTAGCATGTGGAATTCAGTCGTTCTTTTACACGTACAAGTATGTTTTATTGATGTAGTTTGGATGTATGTAGCTGTCTATCTTGTTCATGTATTGTGCTACCTAGGTTCGGCCTCCCAGGTAGTATACCAGCCTTCACACAAATCGAATAACAAAGTGTGAGCATACATATTTGGTGCCTTCTTGTACAAATGTTTGTATGTTTAAATGAATAAAAGAAATGGGATGTGTCGAACAAATATATTCCACATCTTATAAAATACTAATTCAATTGGTTATCAAACGAACTCACTAATTTCTTCATTTTTTATAGCTTGTTTCTCGAAAGGATCATAGAGTTTACCTTATTGTAAATGGCATTTTTATCTCATTGAATGATTTCCATTAATTCCTTTAAAACTATTTGTTTAAATGTAGTTCTGTACTACAATTGGTGTGCTTATTTTCGGTTCGTCAATGTTCCCTTTTCCTGTACTAATGTAGCTAGGGGCAGTTTTAGTGGATATGCATTCATGATAAATCAGTTTAAATAGAATACAGGGCTAACCTTGGAAAATGCTAAAAATAATCTTGTGATTATGAAGTCACGTTTCCACCAAGTACTATGAAGGTTGTACGTTTTAGGAGTATCTAATTAAAGAAATATTAAAATCCGTAAAAATGTATGACCTTGAGCAGACTTATCCATTTTTTAAGGCTTTTAATGTAAGTTATCCAACCTTTATATAATGGAAGTGTAGGTACAAAATTTCATTTATATGAATGCCGATATCGTTTCTGCTATCTCGGGGTAGTGGCCAGGCCTACCTATTGTGTTGACTCAGTCGAGCTTTACTGGCTAGAACACTTGTGCTTTAGGTCCTACTGTGCTAGACAGGTCTGTCGGATAGCGGTAAAACGTAAAGTGAAGTTAAACTTCTGACTGTACTAAGGTATGAAAACATTAATGTATTTCCATCAGGCCCCCAGGATCTTAATTGATGATGTATTCTCACAATGAATGAACAGGATTAGAAAAGATCAGTTCTAAATATAACACACTTCGTCTTCCTGGATGGATTTCAGTTTCCGAGGGTAAAGTCTGAAAAGTACTGAGTTGATATATATCAAGAGCTACCGACAAGAAAGCGATGTGTTACGAGTATTAAGCGGTTGTTTTCTGGACTCTAGTCATTCTCTCAAGTCACTAAAATCATTACTTAACTATCTCGCTTTTCATGTACCTCAAAAAGATGAATCCTTCCACCATGTAGAAAACTGGGAAGTAGCAATCGCCCACATACCTCTAACAGAGTCACTTTATTAACTTTCAAATCCCTTCGTCGTTTCATAATATTTCTTTTGTCTTTACTACCAACCTTTCTCCTATGACTTCATCTGTATTAAAACATTGCATTCACGATAATCTTCCAAAGCAATGGAGTTATTTATTTATTTATTTATTTATTTATTTAACACACCTAAACACTGGTACAACTGGGCACTGGAATAAATATGCACAATACAAATATAAGAATTAGATCATGAAGAGGTAGGAAGAAGTTGGACAAACAAATAAATAAACAAAATACGTGAACGAGCATGTTGTATCACAAGACCGACAGTTCAGAAAGTGTTTTCGATTAAAGGATTATCCCCCATTTTTCTAAAAAAAATGTTAAGAAATTACAGTAGTGCAAGTAATGGATTCTATTTTGAAACACCATCTCTAGGACTCCAACCAGAGAGTAATATATAGAAAGTACACTTGTGAGACGTCAGCACTATTTTTTCCGTATGAGATATTGAATGTAGGATAATTTATCTGTTTAATGGTAAGTTACATAGTATTCAAACTGAACAATAAACAAATAACGTGGATCCAGTGTAATTATTGAAACAGAAGTAGTTTCTATTTCCATATAACTTTAAGTCACATGTTGTACTTTTAATAAATCATCATTGCGTAAGATCATTTCAGTGTACCACCCATATATGTATAGACTTTCATGTTGTCTTCTATTTGTCAACAAAAATTTCACATCTAGATTTTCATATTCCTTGCCTCCCATTTAGAATTCTTTGAAAATAAAACTCTGCTCGAATCATGTAGTTAGTTAAATGTTACCGCTAGGTTACATTGTTATTAAGTATTGATGAATTTATTGTAAAATACTCTTGTTTTATATTTTTCGTTTAATTAGGCAAATGGCGCCTTCTTCTCGTTGTCACTATGAGGTAATTATGGTAGGTAGGTCTTACCAGTATCAGCTTGTGCATTAATGCGTCGTACTTCTTGTGATTCCCTGTTATCTACATCCTCCATAAGAAATAACTGTTTACACAGCTTACGATTAAATACTCGATTTGATGAGTCCGGACCGAGATTGAGTTCTATCTACCATCATTTTGTCTCGACACGAATCTTGCTTGGTTAATATCTTACGTTTCCTAAAAGTTGAATTAAATAATATACTTTAGGTTGACTGTCCAGACTATTTAAATAGAAGAAACCCCAGACTGCAAACGTTGAATAACTGTGTCTGGCAGACGACTGCAGTAATACAGTTACATCCCTAGAATTTCAGCAAACTGTTGGTCTGTATACGTTCGACTTTTCTATAACTAATACAGTCAATGATGCACTGAATTTTTCTTTCCATTTTTTACTTTATTATGTTATCATATTCACTATTGATGGCTCAAAGGAGCTCATTATTCTGTATAACCCACATTTAATTAACTAATTTAGCTTATTTTTATGTAAATTATTAATCCTGTAGTTTTTTCGTTTACCAGGTTTATGGTTTATATCGGATTTAGCAAGTTGATGTCACATCGTTATCACTTTATTTTACATCATACCATCTATATATTTATGAATATATCCTCTTATTTTATTTTATTTTTAGACAGACCAGCTAAATTATATTTGGATCTAGAATACTGTAAGTTATCTAATCAAAATAAAGATGGGGAAGTAGCTGTTAATATATTTCTAAAGGTAAATAATTCTAGTAAATGTTTTATTATATGCAGTACTTTGCTTAATAGTACATCAATTTCTATCCAGTTTTTACTTTACTATATTTTTTTAAGATGATGTAGAATATTCGTAACTCAAAATAAGGATGTCGGAGTTTTTGTGATATTTGAGCTGGACGAATTAGTTGTGAAGCTTTGATGGTTTTTCTGATGTTTATTTTAAAGTACATGTTCATGATGTTATAAAGAACAGTGGAAGCATCACAACCATTCCATTTAGATCAGATATCACAAAAACTTCAACTTCACTTACATCTCATAGTCTGTGATGTAATTGTGTCAGCTGTAGCCTTTGATCCAATTCACCCATATCACACGTTTTCAACCAGATATATAAAGCAGACTAGAAGTGGATAGGAAGTTTATATACATGTATTTCGTGTGACGGCTTGGTTGTTAAGACTTCTACCCACCAAGCCCCATGTTAGAAACGTACTGTACCTACTTTTGTTCGAGAAACCGAGTGCTTTGTTTAGCCCTATTAATTAAAGTGTCGCTCACATTCAGTTATTGTTACTATTTGTTTTTATAAGTCCCGTATATGTATATTATACTGGACAGATACAAACAAAATATTTGGGCATTAACATCAAGTAGATAAGTTATTCATTCACTCACGTTAACCACACCCATACTTACGTTTCTCATCTATCATGCTTTCTTACGAAAGCTTTTGATGTGCTTGAATTCACCTGGCCAATCTATGTTAAATAAATTTCGATTGTTTACACATTTTGATTTTAGCTACTTTAATCTGTCAAATATAGTTTATGGTCACGTAGGTAGGATTGTAGTTCTCGCGTTATAACTTCTGTCTTCAAGTCCAAAAACTATTAGATTACTTCGTAAATTTATTTCGTCTTTTTTTATTTTAGGCTTTGTGTGCTTGTATTCAATTCTTCTATGATGTAACTATTGAACCCAGTGAAATATTTATATTGGATGCAAGGTAAGTTAAACATTTTGCAAACAAATTGCATGCAAGTGTTATTACTTTTATTAGGATATATATATATATATATATATATATATATATATATATATATATAACATTTTCTTGCAAATTCTTTGTGTTCAATATCAAAAAAATGTCTGATTATTTATTTAAATATTCACAGCACTTCGAAGAAATTTAGTCAACATGTCATAATCAACAGTAAAAATCTTGTATTTCGAAGCAATTTAGAACAAGGTAAGCCAGATGTGACATTTAGATAGATATTTTTGGGTTGTCCTTGTTGTTGCAACTCATTTAACAAGCATAAGCTTGTTTACTCAGCTTTGAATAATACTGTTTGTGTATTGGGGGGGGGAGACTTACTAACTGTCAAAAAGATTGAATCCTAACAATTACATTCTCCGGCCAAGTTCAAATTTGGATATGATGATTAGTGCATTTTCAACCAGTCAGCGCTAGTGAACGGATGAAAAAGATACTATTTGTTTCTCTTATAGATTTTGTATAAACTGCCGTGCTTTTAATACTATGCATTGTTTTGGTTCTTTGAAACGTTCTTTGTTTCCTGGTCATTCTCGCTGTGATATGTTTTAAGCTGAGCGTAGTGCAGCAGATAAAAATATTTATCATGGAAGAATAAAACACTAATCGGCTGCTCAAACCGAATTTAGTCGAGCAGGTTTCGACTTATTGATTGAAGCTAATCGCTTTCACCATTAAACCACCACTTATCTACTAATTATTAATCTATAAATGCCTCAGGCTTTTTGGACTGTTTTTGCAGTTTATGACTAGATAAACGGGGTTTGTGTTGTGTTTCGATGGGGGTTAAATTCACTTGATGAGTCCCAAATAGGATGAAATGCTTGTTCTGAATTCCACTGCCTAACATGCATAAAATGTACGAAAATAAGGTTCTTTTTAAGAAATTTTCGTCTTGATATCTTCAGTGAATTCTTCAATTAAGATTGAACATACACCTAGTTGATGAATCTTGGTGGTAGCTGAGGGGCTTTTTTAAGAAACCCTGAACCCAGGTTTTATAATTGTTGGTACTCGACAACAAAGCATATGTTCGGAGACATGATGCCCCCTTTAGGATTCAAACCTATGTTTCACAGCTTCACAGTCTACGACCTTCGCACCAAGATATTTGGATTGCATATAATTGTTATTTTGTTCTCAACTAAATTATATTCAACTAATCAATGTTTCATTTTCCTTTCATTTAATGGAATCCAATAAATTATTAGGTCAACTGATTCGTATACTTTGTAAAAGTTTGTCACAATATAGTTTATTAAATACTGATTTCCTGTACACAAATGAATGTTCACATTGTTCAAATCAAATTAATCATCTTATACAATGTATATTTCCCGAGATTCAATTAACCAGTAACGATGCCAAAAATTGTTTTGCTTTACCTAAATTAAAACAATCTACTTCATCATCAAGTGAATTATGGACAAGCGTGTGTGACTTAGGCGTCTATACACGTAATCGTAATTTCCGTTTGGCTGGGTCATGTAAATTATCCGGTAGTGGATTATTATTACCAAATTATGTAATCAATAACAACGAAATATTTTCATATATATGGTCAAATTGGCGATCTTGGGCACGGACTCTTGTTACTTATATTGGTGAACAATGGTTAGTATTTTTTCAAAACGATGGCCGTTTTGACCAGTTGTAATAATGATATGTTCATTCAGGGTAATTTTTGGGTAGGTCAGTGATTAAAGATCAGTATATCCAGATTAAGTATATATATGAGGCTATCCCATGTTTCTAAGATTCATCCCACTTAATAACTGCATAGTACTTGCGTTAATAAACTCTTGCTGTTGTAGATCTGGTTGTCAAGTTCGCTAGAATAGCGGTAAATTCACATGAATAACTCACTCGACATCTATTTGAGTCAGAGAGCTGTTTTAAATACTCGGATATATATATATATATATATATATATATATATATATATATATAATGTGGTTCTAGGATAAGTTAAAGTTAGGCTTATATTCAAGGTAAGACAATAATAACAGCCAAGCCTAACAAGCTCACGTTCAAAAGGTCTACCCCAAAAAAATGCTTTTCATGTAATTAGAGTATAGTCAGTTTCTCGGTTGTGTAACTAATAGGGTACAAGAACAAAGGGATGAACACTGATTACTAATAAGTAATTAGCCATTAATTGAGAATTTCACACTGGTTCTGATCCAAGTAGCCCGGTAATTGAGGTGAGTGTGTCACGTGGTCAAGTATAGTGATATAGGTCGTAATTTAAAAGTTCAGTTCATTTCTCAAGTATAAACTATATATATTTAACTTTCATCTGGATTTTCTGTTTGAGAATAGGTTGGAAGCTATAAGATTTTTCAAAAATGCGACAAAAATTAAGCAGAAAACGTTCTTGAAATTCCACGCAAAACTAAATTTGACTTGCTGGTACTCATCCTTGGTGGCCAGTTGTCAGTGTGGAACGCGAATTTCTCCTTTCTCTTGATTTTGTCACTTGTTTTCGAGGATTGTAAATCCTCCTTGATGTTAACGTGTATCACTTACACGTTCTACTTTAAATTGTACGTTTCAATCATTGTGTATTGGAAACGGATCTAGTCCAGTGAAACATTCCCTGGTCCTACTGCTTATACATGGAAACCGTAACAACTGCGATTACTACGAGGCAGAATGAAAACAAGGACTGGTACAAATCAATATTTACTCTATCAAAAACACGACGGAAAAAACACTAATTTATATGCTGTCTGTACATACAATTGATAATTAGTTAACAAACATCATGTAACCGAAAGGATATACAGGGTTATTGTAAAACACACAGAGTCCGCTTAGAATGGTGCAAAGAATCTGATTGTCATATTTGTGATGGTAAACAAAATTCACTCCTAATTAATACAAAACATATTGACATGTAATAGTGCTATATTAGGAAATGTAAACTCAATATCGTACTAACTACCATGTTGCATTGAGAATAAAAACAATGTCACACCGTGAATAAAATTAGTTTCATGAAATGTTACACTGAGTTAGGGAAGAAACATGTACCTGTCTTCTTATCCCGACTTATCAAGTGCTTCGTTAAAAGCTGACAGATAATTCAAAATGATGTCGATTCAAATATACCTCGAAACTTTTGAAACCCCGTATTCTTCAACATTTACAACTAATTTTGTTGTGTTCATAGTTAATTCAGTTTTTCTTTAATCAATCCTCCATCGAATTACTATACTGTCCATTATGTTATATAAAATGTTTTAAGTGAACATCGTTGCAACATTTTGTTCGTGTATAACTAATAAAAGAAATTCATAGCTTCTGACCATCTTACTCAGTGTGTTCAAATGAATTCGTGTGTTCGACATGTATTACACTGCAAGGTGCGTTAATGAACAAACTAAATCAATATTTTTCTGGGGGTGGTAGTAAACTGTCGACAAGTATCAGTAACAATAGTGTGAAGATTATAATGACTAAATATAAAAAGTAGCAACAAGTTATAAATATGTTCCCTCAAATTCAGGCCTTAACTGTTACAATAGAATACTTATTGGATGATCAAGTTTGTTAAATGGATCAAACTTATTGGTATAATCGCTTCCAGTGTATAAGTTAAGTGTTACGGAAGTCTTAAATTATGTACCATATGTTTCTAAGCTCCATCATGGAACAAATTATATCCCAATAAATACTTTCCTTAACATAATACTGTATCTAGGAATTTTGAGCTTAAGATTTGTTCCCTGAAATTTTTGGACTTTATGTAATCAAACTTCTTTTTATAAATTTCAATATACAGTTCAAATCTTATTCATCGACCAGTGGAAAATTGTTGCTGTAGTAAAACTGACAACACTTTACTCACTTATTTACCCACTAATAATTACTTCACTAGTTCTGATAATGTACATGAAGTTCTTAATGAAAATAACGCCAATATTTTTCTTCAGTCATTACCATTAAAAATCATTGTTTTCATAAGGAAAATTATCCGAGAATGGTTTAATCGTGGATTATCTGATGAAAAAATCAATAATGTGTTGTACAATTTTGAGAATCAAATCAAAATTATTTCTTTCAATAAAGGCAAGTTAGCTGTGAAAGTGGAAAAACTGCGTTTCTGTGAACGAGTCAATCGTTCCCATAAAAGTAATCATATTATGTAAGCGAGTCCGTTTATTTTATTTTGTTTTAAACATTTTTATATGATGATTTATAGGTTCACATTATATATATATATATATATATATATATATATATATATATATATATATATATATATATATATATATATATATATTAATGAACTAAGTTTTATACATTATGATCTCTGAATAAATTTAAATCAAGTGAAAAGGAAAATTTTTACAGAATCACATGAATTCATTATGTTCCAAGGTTATTCATCAGCTACTAACAGCCCAGATCGATAATTGGTAATATTATCACCAAAAAGTATTTTTGTATACAATAATCAATGAAGTTTGGTTCGAGGCGACACAAGAAACACGAAGCGATAACATTTAACATGAGACTGGTTAGTATTTATATGTTCAAGATAAAATTGTAAAAAGAAGAGAGTGGAATTACAAATGATAACAAAGAGACAAGAAATAAGAAGAACTTACTAGCAAATGATTGGTAATCATAATTTCGATTGAATTTTTCTATCTTTCCAAACATATAGTACAATAAAGAAGTAATGTCGTTGACAAACGTTAAATTAATATAATTGTCTTGACCTGCGCTCCTTGAGGAGTAACAGGTGCAAGTAATTAGACGTTTCTCACACTTTCTTTCTGTAAACTAACGTCAGATCAAAAGAGCCTAATGGCAATGGCCTCTACAAAACGGAGTAAAAGTGATATTTGCTACTTGTAGATTATTTTGTGACATCCACGTCGTGTTCATTATCCATTAAATGTCTGGTGATCACATTTGCGAATACTTTACTTCCTGTCAGATAAAACGTATGCGGGATATGTTAGGAGAACCTTGTACTTTCTTCCATGTGTACGTGTGAATTCATTTGACAGTAACCTCGAAAGCGTATTACTAATATTACTAAATTTAGTCCGTTTATCGCTGACGAGAAGCCTTGAAGTACACCGTATTTGTTGACTGATCACACACACAACTTATTTTGATGTGTACACATCACTCGTAATCTCGTTATACTAAGGTAAACAATATTTCCTCAATTTATTTCAATAATACTTCATTTTATATACCTCTATTTAAACCATGTAAATTCGTTAAAAAATAATGAGTCGTACGTTTGACATTTCACTAAGCTAATGTGGTGTTAATTTGGACCGATTCATTTATATACCAGATTCTTTGTTGCTTATGACCAATTGATTGATATTATCTCGTATAGACATCACTGAAGACCCATTAAGTCGCTTTTAAAGAGAAAACTATGTGGATCATGCAATTTAAACGAGGAATTTCACCTCTTTGAATATGTTTCGTATGGTAAATCCGTAATTAGGTGATAGTTTTGACAGTTACTTCGATTCTAAATGTAAGTTTAGCTTGGAGTATTGAACAATAGAATAAAAATGTTTATTTAGTGTGCGAATTCTCAACTATCTAGATTCGAACTTGTTGAGCTGCTTTTTCTAACTATTGATTAATTTGTTTGAAGCCGGTAGCAACTGTAAACCTATATGAATAAGATTTTCTCTTTTTGTGTTTGGATAACATTATTCATTGTTTTGTGTTGATTCATGTTTTTTTTTCAGTCTAGTCTTTGATCTTATCAATGGTTGTTATTATCAGAAATGCTTAGATCCTGACTGTCGACTAGTAGATTTTCGTTCATCTAGTAAGTCGTTTTTTTATTTCTTTTATTCAATGTTTAAATAAGCATAAAAACACAAATCTCGCATAATGTGTACTAATCTAGGTGGATTGCATATATATTTTATAAATAATAATAGTTGCTTAAGAAAATCTCATTCATACAAATAGGATAATATTTTCAAAATGAATAGCATTTATTTTATAAATCTAAAGTATGATTTTACCAATTTAACAACCATATAAAATATTTAATCTGTAATGGTTTTTGAGTTATTCGGTTGTTGATATTGTTGACTGAATTTTTTCAGTCCACCGCTAGCAAAAATCGATTTCTTCCATAAAACTTGTGATATAATGTGTTTATCAAAGCAATGCGCACAGGATGCACGTATGCCAACAAAGGCTTCAAAACCCAGTCAACAATATCAACAGTGAGATAAATCAAAAACCTTTAAGAATGAAATCAAATTCGTACCTGTCGTGTAAGTCGGTAGCCGAGTAAGTAACCCGTTGGTGTTTGAAATAAGCAGTACTGGCTTCGAACCTGGGAGTGAACACTAACAATGTGATGCAGGCACATTCAGCTGATGAGTCACAAATGATAGGGCAAAACGCTCATCGTAAATTTTACTGCTAGTCATTATTCATTTCTTCTATAACACATGATATATTGATTATTACAAAAGTTTAAAGTTATTTAACCAGTGAACACAAAATTTTTTAAAGCCTTCTTACTTAGAGGATGTTAATTTTTGACGATATTTAGACTCAAATACTTCCAAAGATGGTGGGCTACTCAATGACTTTCACAGAGATAAAATTAATAGTCTTTCAAACCAATTCTCGTGAATGTGTGAATGATGTGTGAGAATTCTTAAGAAATAGAGTTATTAGAAGTAACTAAATGTCCTAGGACTTGTAGTCCTTTGAATAGCTAGACCATGATATCTGGAGATTCCTCGGATTCGTATTTGCGTGAAAGATAAGCTATCGCTTTGGGCCAAATCAATGTGTATCTGTTAGCTTACTTGCTCATATGGAGCAGGTTGTATTTGTCGAAGAGCATCACTGAACATTACCTTGCTTGGCTATCTAATGAATTGCAAACTTTCAAGCCTTACAAAAGAATAGAAAAAAGTGGTGGTTACTGATGGTGGTATTTAGGTAACACATGATTCTAACCACATTTTATAATAAGTCCTGCTGTCTAGTTTTATTACAATTCGAATATGCACTAGCTACATGTCTCTTCACACTTATTTAAATTTAGGTATGCCAATACCTGCCGACTGTCTCAATGTTCCTTTTGTATGTAACGAAGATGAATGTGTGTTGAGTGAAAGCAATCTAACTAATAAAATTGAATATTACAGTGCTTTTGTAACACCTGAAGATTTAATGCTCGGTTCTATACTGGATAGTTTTCAAAATTAATACAAGTTGTTCAAAGACATAACACTTGATTTCTTTACATTTAATATGAACCATAAATTTTACTGCTTAAAACGTGCGATAACAAACCATTTTCACGACGTTTATTAAACAACTAACTCGGTCACGATGGATATCTCTTCGTCTTGATTTGATAAATTCAACACTTCTGGCTTTCAAGTATTTATACAAATTGGAAATGTAGTTGGACTTTCTAAATAGCACCTTAACTCAGCCAACAGTTTATGTCCCATATGTTACTTTCTGTGTTTTCTAAAAAGTTAATTATACATTTTAAACAGGTTTAATTTATTTTTGTAAAATTATAATAAAACACTTATTTATATAAATTTGTTTTTATTACCGAACGTCGAACTTATTCCGTATACGGTATAACTCTACAACTGACTAAAAAAGCTGAAAACTACACTACGTACACCCGAAGAGTAAATTTACAAGGGGAGCGATTTAAATTAAATGTATTAACCAGTGATCAATTTAAATGCTTATTATTCATTTCTGGTTTGAACTCTCCCATCGATGCTGATTTTCGCATGGGGTTGTTATCCCGTATGGAACATGATAATGAAATCACACTACTACTGCTGAATGCCAACGATTAATAAACTTAAAACAGGACCCAACTATGCTGGAAACCAAACGTTCGGTGCCATCTAATCATTATGTTCATGCTGCCAAGACAGCTCAAAGAAAGAAAGTACCAAGTTATAAATATTACTCGAAAATTTTTAAACTTTCAACTGACTGCTGGTATTGTGGCGCATGGCACTTCTCAAAAAATTTCCGATTTAGAAATCATAGATGTTCTGTATGCAAAGTCTGTCAAATTAGAGAGCCAACAAACCGTCCCCACCACAAAATATATGCTACACTGGCTATAAGCACGGCAGATCAAAGAATGCATGTAGAATTAATTGTGTTCACATTCGATTGCAATTGGATACAGCATCAGATATCACATCAATCGCTAAACAGACATGGGATTTAATTGGCTGTCCGAAAGTGTGGACAACTGAGCACACAGCTCGGAATGCATCTGGAGACATTAATGATTATTGGAACAACAAAATGCTCTGTTGAATTCAGAGATAACTACTTCACAGGAAATTGTCATTTAACGAACAGACATCATGTGAGTCTTATTGGTATAACTTGGATAAACAAACTAAATCTATGGGATCTACCATTGAGCGAAATATGTACTATGTAAAGTTCAAATAACCCTAGAGTTTTACCCATCGTTCATGTAACTAAAAAAGCCATAGCGATAGAATACATTTTGCAGACATAAAATCTTGCTCCAGAATAAGTTGGGATGCTGCACAATTCGGAAGACAATGTTATAATTATAACAGGATGTAAAACTTGTTTTTCGTCTAAAACGTCATATTTATTTTATTTGCACACATAGATATTGGTACAAGGAGGCACTAAATACATATGAACCACACAAATCTCATTTGATTTGTGCAAGGTCTGTGATGCTACCCGGGTGCCCAAACCAAAGCTGGTGGTTTTCCTAGGGGGCCACATCCAGAGTTTTTAACCTGAGTCTGATCCACAAGATAGTGAAGCAAGGTGAGGAGATCCAATCCCAAGGTGGCTGATGACCAACGGTCAATTGATTGGTCCATTTGTTACTTCAGGATCGTGGAGTCCATGTGCACGATTGGTTCGGAATCAGGTTTTTCCAACTCTCCTAGGTGGGCTCTCCATATCCACCAACCCGGTTCAAGCGCCGGACATCCGCTTTTTGTCCTCTCGATTTCGTAAACAACACCCCCGCCACAAGAATGAAGTGAGTCAATTTCCATATGTAGCTATTGACACATAATTAAACCGACTAGAAAAGCTCGGTGTCATACAACCCATTAATTATTCAGCACGGGCAACACCAATTGTGGTAGTTCAGATAGCGAATAGAGCTATTCGCTTTTATGCAGATTTTTCAACAGGATTAAATGATTCCTTACAAAATCATTCATATCCGCTACCTTTTCCAGAGGATTTATTTGTTAAACTAAACGGTGGGTGTTCTTTTGTTAAACTTGGTTTATCTGAAGCCTACGTACAAGTGGAAGTTGACAAATACTCAAAGGAGTTATTAACCATTAATACCCGCCGTGAACTCTATCAGTTTAAGCGATTACAGTTTGGCGTAAAGCCCAGCTACAGCAATTTTCCAGCAGATAATGGATACTATGATGTCTAACCTCGAAGGTGTAGCAGTTTACTTGAATGATATTATAGTTGTTTGTTCTGCTCAGGAACTAATTGGTCGGTTAGACGTTGTGCTCACTAAAATATCACAAGCTGGTTAAAGTGAATTCCTGCTCGAGTCTGTTAAATACCTTGGATTGTATTTGATAAAGATGGACGCCGGCCAGAACCAGATAATATAAATGCTATCAAGAACATGCCCAAACCGACTGATGTTGAAACCCTTCGTTCACTTTTAGAAATGATTGGAATATATAGTATGTTCGTACCCTATATGTATATATTGCGACACCCATTAAATCAACTTTTGGTGGCTAATGCAACATGGCACTAAACAAAGTAATGCCGAAATTCTTTCTATGAAATGAAAAGTATTTTCTATTCTAAACTGTTGCTGATCCATAACAATCCAGAATTTAGAATAATTGTGGCCGCAGATGTTTCCAACCATAGAATTAGAGCTGTTATCAGTCATCGTTTTCCTGATAGTAAAGAAAAGCCAATTACTCATGTATTCCGAACTCTTAACCCAGTTGAGCGAAAATATAGTCAGATTGAGAAAGAAGGTCTAGCTTTAGTTTTTGTAGTAAAGAAATTCTGTAAAATGGTTTATGTTCATCGATTTACCCTTCTAACGGACCACAAGCAGCTTTTATCTATATTTGAATCGATGTCGGGTATTCTTGCATATACGGCAAATCGATTACGACGCTGTGCTATTACATTACTTGCTTATAATTTCCAAATTCTATATAAATCAACTGAAAAGATTGAACAAGCTGATGCTTTATCCCTACTAATTGCGAATCAGAAGCAGGAAAGTGAAAATTCCATTATTGCAAAGTTGTCGTTGAAAGAGGATATTCACCAAATATTGCAAGTTGCTATAAAAGCAACGCCATTATCCGTTGAAGATATTAAACGCTATACTCAAGAAGACAAGCTGATGTGGATTTTTAGTTACCTCGAACATGGCCCAATCATAGAGAAAACAAAAACATTGACCAGTATGCTCACTGACGAAATTCCCTATCAATCGTGGACGGGTGCCTGATGTTTGGAAATCGAGTTGTTGTACCCACAAGTTTATGTCGATAGGTGATGTTAGAACTGCATGCTGAACACCAAGGAGTATCACGGATGGAAGCACTCGGACGTGGCTATGTACACTCAACAAATATTTATGATTAGATTGAAGAATATGTTTGAGATGTTCCGCTTGTGGTATGGAAGCCGCTCGCAAGACGGAAATACAGAGTTCAGGCACACCTACAAATCCGTGATCGAGAGTGCATATTGATTTCGTCGGACTCATAAACCGGAAACAGTTCTTGGTGATCGTTTACAGCTTCTCCCAATGACCAGAAATCCACTACATGAAGTCTCTCTCGACAAATAATCAAGAAATCCCGGCAAAAGCAATTTTGGGAAGGAAGATTAGAATACCTGTAGAACAAGTGAAACCAGAACCAGCCTCTGTAAGAATGTACGAATAGAACGTCAACTCAAGAAGCGACATGGCGCATTACCCAGACGGTTCAGTGTGGGACAAACAGTGACAGCAAGAGATTTCCAGGAAGTAACGCCAACTTGGAAGTTTGGCACGATAAACATAATTGAATAAGAATAAATCCTAAGCATTTTTGTTATCCCTGATAATTAAAAAAAACTGGAGTTGCTATTGTTCTAGTGAAGATTAATCTACGGGCCACTTCTGAGACATATTATTGGACTAATATTATCTATATATTCTTACGTACAACTATTCAGTAATTAGATTGTGTATATCTATATTAATCTTCTTACAAGCTTCATTTTGACCTATAAATTGTTATTATACGACTTACTGTTTTTAAGTTATGTTCAGTTTATTGATTACCGGTGGAACGTCATTGGCTTAGCACAGCACTAAGATTGAATAATTCGTATTTCAATTGGCAAATAAATAACATGATAACTAGCCATGCTTAAAGTCCCGCAGCTTTTCTTAAACCTCGAAATGAGTCAATATCGATGAGAAAGGTTTCATTATAACCAGTTTTCGTTTGATTATGTGGAAGCTAGATTGATGGATCTATTACTGAACAGAAGAATGCTGGCGTAAAACAAAACTGAAACCATAAATAATAGTTATTATTATTACCCACATTAATGAGGGTAAGCTTACCATGCTGTTACCCAAGTCGTTTACTACTGAAACGTATAGAAGACCGTTCTCGGTCCATTGTAGATTAGGAACTGTAGAACAAGGCCTTCTGCATGTCACATATACATCTCAATTAAGCTACTATTTTGAGTTATGAGTCCCAACCTCATTTAATGTAATCTGCTCTAAATAATGAAGCATTGACTCTTGTTTATCTAAAATTGTTTTGCTACGAAGAGTAATAATTCGGACCAATGTGTGGGAATTAAGATAACCAAGAATTGACTAACATGACCTAAAATTTTCACATGGAATTAATCCACACAAATGCGCTGGTACGATCGAAATTGGGGAGTCAGCTTTCACATGGCTACCGCCTCCCCGCGCCATTACTGTCGTTCACGAAATCGAGAAGTCGAAAACTGAATGTTCGGAGCCCACCTAGGAGAGTTGGAAAAACCTGATTCCGAACCAATCGTGCACAAGGACTCCACGATCCTGAAGTAACAAATGGACCAATCAATTGACCGTTGGTCATCAGCCACCTTGGGATTGGATCTCCTCACCTTGCTTCACTATCTTGTGGATCAGACTCAGGTTAAAAACTCTGGATGTGGCCCCCTAGGAAAACCACCAGCTTCGGTTTGGGCAACCGTGCAGTATCATTGCTCACACAAATCAATAAACACGAAATTAATAAGTAGTGAACGTAACAAAGACCTCCGGTTTTGGTATTCGTTTCAGAACAACTGACCAAGTGTGATTGCAATCTTATGCAGAGTTTATCAAAGATATCTTGAAAAAAAAATATAATCTTGCTACGAGTTCATTTTCCCAGCAAAATCGCTATACGAAATACAAGTGCTTGTAAATCGATTGGTAAGTCTAACAGTTGGTGCGTCGACCACATTAGTATCTTTCTTTGGATCTGCAGCACACGCAAACACCATATTACTTCACAATTGATACGGTAGAACTTCCGATTGAACAGTACAGGTATCTAAAATGCAGGGTCGGTCGGGAGACTTCACCAGTGTGGCTGTATTAGTTAAGTAGGCGACTCATTTTCTGTAGATAATTTTTTAAGGGATATAATTCATCAGGAAATGAATGACTTAGTGGTTTCTACCTGTTCATAAATCGGAATGATCACAAATCAAAACTAATCACATTGCAGAACCTGGTACATATTCCCATCGATATAAGTTGCCATACACCATTAGCGCAGAAATGAAATGGAGAAGTTGGATCCCACAATAGCAGACGTGGTAACAGTACCAGTAGTAATTAAAAGGATTAGGGATACGATTTGAAGAGACAAATTAGTGAAGGAAAAACTGTTGCAAACGATTTCGAGCCATGCCATTCAAAATCTGTAGTCACTGGTTTTGGTAATCGTGCGGACCCCAACCAGGTAGTTAACGCTTCTTAACATGTCTCAGTCTATCAGTGACTTCATGGGCTGGTGCCATGTTTTCGTTTCCTCTCCCCTGGTTTTGTTCCAGTCTACCACCAACACCTCACGTTGAAATAGGTGCTGGTTCGGTATAAATAATGTATGTTTTAACCATCTCAGTTGATTAAGATTTACAAACACATCAATCGGTTTGCCATCCCAACCTAATACCTTATTACCAACCTGGGAATTGCTTACTCAACGATTCCAAGGTACACAACCAATGCTTCGAAGACGCGTTTGAACGAATACCTGTTTTTGTTAGCCAACTACCTGTCTTTAACTGAAACCTCAGTTAACCTTAATGGCAATATTGGGGTAGCTTACTCTTAGACCCTGAAATTCATTCATGTTAGATTACTCTATCCCTTGCTTCAGACCAGCTAAATCCTTCAAAATCTTACTCACCGATCAGACATTAGTCTATTTCATGTCAGTAATATGATAGTTCATCATGGTTTTAGTGCGTGGGCTGAGATACTGCCCGGGTGCCCAAACCGAAGCAGGTGGTTTTCTTAGGGGGCCACACTCCGATCCATCGACGTCTTGGACGATGGGCAGAATTCTTTGAAGAGCAGTTCAACTGGCCTGCTGCTCCGGCAACATCGGTCAGACTGTCCTGCCCTCCATGGCCGATGACGACTGATCCACCAAATGAGGCGGAAGTCCGCAAGGAACTCCAACTCTTGAAACGTTACAAATCACCGGACCCAGACGACTTACCTCCGGCTCTTTTTAAAGATGGTGGTGACTTTCTGACTAAGGGACTGACGACGCTGTTTGCAAAGGTCTGGGAACTAGAGAGTGTACCAACGTCATGGAATGAGTCGATAGTTGTCCCTATCTTTAAAAAGGGTTCACGTTGTTCCTGTACCAACTATCGGGGGATAAGTCTACTTCCGATTGCGTCCAAGCTATTGGCTTCCGTCATACTTCGTAGGTTGTTCAGAACCCGAGAAGGATTGACTCGCGAGGAGCAGGCTGGGTTTCGTTCTGGTCCAGGATGTATTGATCACATCTTCACCCTCCGCCAAGTGTTAGAACACCCTCATACTTATCAAAGGCCAACAATCGTATTGTTTCTTGACATCAGAGCTGCCTTCGGTTCGTTGGATAGGACTGCTCTCTGGGATTGTCTATTGAAGAAGGGTGTGCCTGAGAAGTTTATTAACATCCTAAAGGCCCTATATACAAACACCTCAGGCAGAGTGAGGGCATACAACCACCTCTCTCCACTATTCCATTCGAGCAGTGGGGTTAGGCAGGGTTGCCCAATCTCACCATTCCTCTTCAACTTTGCCATCGATGACATTCTGGAAACAGCTCTGATAGATGTAAGTAATGGTGGTGTGAATCTGTTGCCTGGAGAAAGACTTCTCGACCTTGAGTATGCGGATGATATTGTCTTACTGTGCGAGAATGTTCAAGCCATGCAATCCGCACTTAGTCAGTTGGCAATCAATGTCCGTAGGTATGTTATGTGCTTCGCACCTTTTCGTTTTCCCCTACGTACTTCGGCCCACTGCATACATTCAAAGCTTTAAAACTGCTGTGTTAATAAAGCAAATGATTTTAACTCTGGGAGCTCATTGCGTTTAGCCAATAAAATATCCAGGATCCCGTAGTATGGTGAACAGTAATTATTTATTGCAAACCACTACTCTGTAATGTAAGTAGATCTTGTCCAAATACTGCCAACTGCTCAAAGCTGTGGCGGAAGCGACACCATAAATATTCAAGATTTCATACGTGACAGATGAATGATGTAAATCCGTCCCTACAATGGTACACAATGTTCAGATGTCATTCAATTTTCCGTTTGAAAGTACAAATATGAGGACGACAAAACCTAAAATTCGATCTTAAATTGCTTAACTAAAGAATTTAAGACAGGTTTTATTATCCGACAGTGATCCAGCCCACGATAACAAATTCATTCGTAGACGTAATCAGAAGGAATTGGGTCAGCTTACGTGTTTTCGTCGTCACGACATATGTAACCTTAATATATTAAGCATAACCCCTGCCGACTCGGAAACGTTTGAAGTGACAACTCGTTAGTGCACAAGTTAAGACAAATGGGAGTGTTTAAAAATCTATGTTATCATGGGTAAAAAAGTCTAAATTTCAAAGGAAAGGTGGAAGTTCCCTCTCTAAAATGTAAAACGGATGGGTTGCAACAACATGATGAATCTTTTTAGAATGGATACAGAAAGAATTCCTTGATGAATGCAAATCACAGAAAACCCGAAACTTCTAGTATAATATGGTGGGAAATATACGTTTAAAAAAACTGTTCAGAAAAATATCGTTTTCAAAAAATAATCGACTTTTAAACGATTACATAATGGTTGTACATAGTGACATATTGAAAACGATCGTCATTTCATCATGTCACTGAGGTGGTACAGTGTATGTCGGTGGGACTGCAACTCCTGGCTGAGGCCATGGGATCTGTGGTCTGGGTGGAATTATCATGCCCTGTGGAGGAACTAGTGGGTGTGGTGGTCTGAAGCCAGTTGGAACACCGATCATAGGAGGATAACGAGGGGGATAACCAAGTCCAGGAGGTGGTATCCCCGCTGCCGCGCCAAATAGTGGTGGAGGCATTTTACCCTGCTTGTATGCTTCAGCTTGAAAATTCTATGTTAAGGAACTTGAAAATGAATTACTTACATGTGTGATCGACTAATCTTTGGACTTGTTCTTCCAGCCATTTTTGATAATATTCCTTTACATTATCCTTGTGATTCCTACCACCACAATGCGTTTTTCTCACGGATGGAGAATCATGAGTTAAGTAGGTATCACAGTAGTCACAATAGTACCTAAGTCCTAGGAATGTACTGTTAGGCAGACTTACTTTGGCATAGTTGACCTTGCAGGTATCGACAACGTTCAAAATATGCGTAACAGACTTTAAATCTGTCTGAATGAATCAAATAATTCATTTTCCAGTAATAAGGATAGTATGTTGGTGAAACTGTGTTAATTCTAACAAATTTTCTTTCAGTAAATGTCCAGCTTCTCTTTGAGAATGTACACTGATGTGGATGATACTACTTGTTCAGGTAAGTAGTTCCAGTCATTGAATATTTGATGAAATAGGCGGGACCCACTTTAAGTTTATTAGATCGGAGATTATTGGTGCTGGAGGGAGCAAAAAAAGGACCTATTAACACACAAGTCCTAATTAAAGATACGAAATGCCAGTATAAGTTCACCTTGCATCCTACGATTCAGCAGCGGGAAGAGGTTTATGCGTTTTAAGCGCTCATCAAAAAGGGATTTAGAACGGCCCTTGACTAATTTCATTCTCATACGTTGAATACTTTCAAGTGAGTTAGTATTCTTTATCAGACATGAGCTAGCCGCTTGAATACAGTACTCTAATTGTGATCTTACAATTCGAAACATTTCATCGTCAAAGCGTTTGAATACTCAGAGAAGTGAACATAACGCACGGAATCCTTTAACAGCAGCTGCGTTGAAAGACGTAGTTGTTTTCAAGTCATGACTTATTGTTATTCCAAAGTCTTGATGTTCTTGAACGCGTGGAAGATATATACCATCAATAGTATAATTTTGAGTATAACCGTGTCCGATGTACATGAGCACACTCCTCGTAGAACTAACTTCCAAGCCTCACCCTCTGGCACATCTAACCAATTCATCAAAGATTGGAGAACCAAATGATCAGCCTCACTTCTTATTGTCCGCCAGATTTCGAAACTCGCAACCAATAATGTCGACGACTTAAGCAACGGCGGTAATTCATTGATGTAGAGAAGGAAAAGTAGAGTGTTTTAGGTGGTGCATTGGAGTCTAACACTTTTGACAGGCTTCCATTCGGATAACGTTCTATTGACACTCACTGTCTGTTTGAAGTCATATAAGAAATTTCCTATCCATTCCTGTACAGCGCCCGTTATTCCGAAGCTCAAGAGCTTTTGCATAAGACGTAAGTGTGAAACCTTGTTAAGTGCTTCTCTAAAATCTATAAATATCACAAAGACAGACAGACTGTTATCTAGGGATGCTGCCCAAATCTCTCTCGCAATAAGTAGGCTAGTCAAGCATGAACGCTTGTTACGAAACCCATGTCGCTCATGAGTTATGAGATTGTGTGAATCTATGTGACTTATTAACTTAACCCGGATTATCTTTCCAAGTAAATTAACGACCATGCTATTTAGGCTGACAGGCCGGTAGTTAGATAGGATCTGCCTCTGACCATCCTCAAATATAGGACTGATTATGGCGTCTTTCCAATCTTTAGGGAGTTGTGCGAGTGAAAGGGGCATGTTGAAGAGCGTCGCAAACGGTCGTAAGTAATGTCCGTAAGAGACTGCAGCAGTCGTAACCCGTCAGGGCCCGGCGTCTCACAAGGCATGAGGTTGGTTAACAATGGAATAACAGTTTCATCAGCCACATGTACATATCTTATGGCTGGTATCTCAGTGTGATTGGGACAGGTATTTGTAACAATACATATAGAGTAAACGTCGTTAAAATAGTTTGAAAAATTCTCGGCTTATTCAGTCTGATTTAGTTAGTAAACCTGAATTTTCGTGTAACAGTAATTGAGGAATACCATCACTGAGATTTGTTCAAAGCCAACGCTTCCGAGACCTGAACACCTCGAAACCCCTAATCGTAAGGTTCTTTTTGCCATGTAGCTTTTAAATCCATCATCCTTTAAAATAGGTCTTGGGTATGGTTATGTCCCTACACCTTTGGATTTGTCTTATAATTTATTATTTTCGGATTTTCACTATTTTGGACTGTTTTTTTAAGGTTTTCCTACGGAAATCTAAAACTGGGGAAGAGTACATTCGGGCTGACTCTTAATAATTCATGAATAAATTTTTATTACTCGAATTGTAATTTCGTTTTCTTGAGCTTTGTGTTGTAATCTAAGAGTTAAAAACCGACTGCGTTTCAAGAATGGGCTAGAGAATAGTTTAGTTGTCACAATTAAAAAATGAATATTTTGACCTCGAAAGATAGAAACAACCAACAAAATCCACATACCAATACTTGGCCGCTTTGCAACATAAATCTTCTTTCTTGCATTCAAGTTTAGCACTCTGTCGAACTGAGGAAAGAGCGTATGACGCATATATTTGCAGTGAGTTATATCTGTCACTGAGAAATAACTTATTCACTACACAATATCGTGGTGAGCGGACAACTTTGGGATCTCTCTCTCACATGCGTGTGCCCACAAATATTATTAACTACTCCGTGAGCACACTACATATAACACTATTTCTCTTTTCCCCACACATGTAATATCTCTCTTATTGCTCTCCATATTCGCATTTATTACTAGCCTCCATTTCGCTTTGTTTGCAGTTTTTAATTTTTGATGCTATGTATAGATTCTGATTCCGACTAACTCCATGATGTCGCTGAAAGTTTATAGGTTTGTCTCTCATTAATTACGTGTGTCTAAAATAATCAAACAGACAAATACATTTCTCTACAAAAAGTGTATAATGAAACCATAGAAAATAACTTATGCAAATGTAAAAATCGTACTACTAGTTGCCGAAAAACAATAAACCTACTCAAAGAGCAGCGGACTTATGTGCAACTCCAATTGAAAGGAGATCAGTTTTATGTAGAATATGTTTTCGGCCTTCCAAGTACAACAAGTGTTTTAACTAACCTTCATTCCTAACAACTTAATCACTTATTGCCCTGAAGTCAAGTTGTGCCATTTGAAAAAGTTTTGGCTTGGTGTCGAATCGTGACTGACTATGAACACCCCTACAAGACTACGTGCCAGTAAACCATTAAGATCCCCGTAGGCCAATATCAGAAGACAGATGATGGCTGTAGTCTATGTATATTTGCTGGCGATCTCGTGGTATTGAAGGAATACCGAGATCTTTCCTAAATGAGTACAAGTGGGATCGGCAGGAGAAAGTAAGTGCGTAGAGTCACAAACCGCGCAGATGAAAAGGAGTTCAATGGAAGGCCAAAATGGCTGTCACTAGAACAGTTAAACAAACGAGCACGGTAAAACAATTGGTTATAATAATAATTGTTTTCATCGAACCAATCGCGTTCTGTTGACAAAAGTAGGTCACTACAGTGTATTGGTTGGGCTTATTTTAATCTTGTATTTATTTTGACAGTACAGCTTCCATGCCATCTTGAACACTTCTACATAGCTATACCGAAAATTCCGCCAATCACCCACTTTTATTAAGTTAGAACAAAGGATACCTTATTACGACAATTAGGAGTATTTGAATTATAGTAAAAACTAGGAATCCCAGAAATAACGCGATTGGATCAAGAACTACTAGAAAGGCACGAACGAATGTACTGTATTCGCAATTCGAAATCAAACATTCAACAAGTACCAAGGAGTTATTAGTTTATTCAAACACTACATCCACCACAGCTCAAATGAGAATCCAAATTTCTGTAATCATTTGTTTCTATTCTCCTTAGATTCATCGTGTCTGTCCTACCGCGTATTGGATGTAGACTCTGTATGATCTAGTATATGCTCATTAGAATTAAAATGAACGACTGAAATTGGAACGGCCCCATCTGGGTCCTGGAATTGTATACAGTCAATACGTCAGAGTATTCATTAGAAATCCCTGCCTGAGAAGGAGAAACAAAAGTTGACCCAGTTCAATTAGTACTCATGCTTCACATTGACCAAGTATCCCACAAGAATCATATGCGTTATGACGATAAATAATCTATGATATGACATCACGCTTTCGACCATGATTAGATTCACTCAGCGCTTTTTCCTCAGATTTGCAAGAAATTTCATTAGAGATATGTGAATCATCAGGACAAATTATATCTGGTACAATAGCATGCGAAATCTGATAAGTTTGTTGATTAGAAAATTTTGTATCATAATGATTCTAAGTTTCATTTAACTCTTGGCTGCTATAAAACTATACTAAGTCGTCAATAAAAATAAATTATCATTAGAAACGCCCAACATAATAAAATCCCAATGACAAATTTTAGCATTATTTGCAGCAGAATGAACTTTAGTATTACAAACTGATTGAAAGTGTCCAATCTCATCACATTTCAAAGTACGTAATACACATGAATTTCAGGAATGAAACCTGCCGCACAACAAACATCCACCGAATTCGTGCCCATCTTCGTAAACTGCATCACAACTCAATGATTTATGTGCATAACCTTGAGGACGTACTGGATTGGGATGACGTAGTATTGTAATGGAATTTTGATGCCCTGATGAAACAATCAAATTTTCCTTCTTTACTGCGTTCGAAATTTGTATATTTTACATATTCTAGTAGTAGTTTTTTTGGAGTTGCATAAGGAAGCGAAATAGGCTTTTCTGGTAAAAACAGTGTTTAATAAGCTGTAGGATTCCTTTTCGATGAACGTAAAATGTGCCACAAGCACGAATTCACTGTATTTGGAATTCGAAATCAAGCATTCGACAAGTACTGAAGAATCGTTAGTTCATAATGTAGCGTGGTGTTGTTAAAAGTAGGTCACTACAATACAAACACCACAGTTATCAATGATTCAAATAACATCGTAATTTTCGCAACCTTGGATTACACACAAACGATAATTTGAAGTACATCTGTTATCTACGGATAGTTTTGTTTTTAGACGTAAATAAATTCTTAAGCGCGAGTGGGATTATACTCATAACTGTCACGTCAAATTACTTCATCGTACCCTACGATAACGGTCAAGTTTACACCAAAGTTGTCATTGAGCATTTTTATCATGTTATTCTTATCAGGAAACCAGTTTATGCCGTGACTTTAGTTATGGCTGCAGTTTTTACACATTATGTCAGAATGTATTACGCCAGACATGCATTACATATTGGAATGATGTCCCAAGCTAAATAATGGTCGTTGTTCTCTTGAGGTAAACAGTTAATGAAAACTAATATCGAAAGTTTTGTTGGAGTGCACACTAAATTTCGATGACTCAATAACAGTTTTCTTTTCAGTCTCGAGTCAATTTTGTTTGTCGGATACGACAGTTTGTTTTTGAGTTTAAAACTGTCAGAGGTAGCCAGAGTTTAAGAACTCCTATATATATAACATCGTTATAATCGAAGTTCACCAACCCAGTCAGAAATGAAGGGATGCTATCGCTATGTCGAGAAACATTTGGTCTAAGCTAGCTGGGAGCTACAGTGGATGGTTGAGGTGGCAGGTTTATATATCTGTGTATATTTAACTAATTTAAGTGAAATGTCTGTGCAAATAAGTTAAAAATTACGACACCTTCTTGGTTTGGTATACCTGGTTGTCGTATAATCCAGTCTAATCAATATAATAATAGTATTTGAGGTGAGCGATGAAACGTAAGTTTAGCAACTATAATGGCATAATTTTTGACTTCCTTCATTGTGTTTAGGAGTCGAAATCAGAAAACGACTAGCATGAGATCCCGTGTTCCTTGAAGTTGTGTTTAACGTCTTAAATAAATACAATTGTGTCAACAATAAAAACGTGTCCTACTGGCAAAGATATTTTGTCAGATTGCAGATCTCCTAGTACATCATCTCTCCGTTTATCGAGACGTAAATATATTGGAACACATAGATGGAAATAAATGCTGAACAACAAAGTATTAAGCACATGCCATGTTTTGCACAGTTTATAATATTTGAACTACTCTTTGACTAATATCCATGGACACGTTAGTAAATCACAGTTGTGTAAATCTTTCTTTGCTTAAAACATATAATTTGTTCATTATATCTAAAAAGCAGGCTGGACGGTCACTTTATTCTCACAAGGATTTCTATTAATAATAAGTTACTTGATTGACACTGGTTAAAAATAGCCAAAGACTTAGGCTTAACATTATCAACATGAGGATTGTAAATAGAAACCTGGTGCAAATTTTTGTTTGGTATTCCTTTTTTAATGTAATCATTCCTGAGTAAATTTGTGAATCTAATGTTATTTTGCAGGAAATGCAAAACATTCGAGACTCTCAATATCTAGTCCACATTTTATATGTGACACTTAGAAGTATTACAGTACACATTATTTTCATTTCGTGTATACATTACCAATGGAAACAGATCGTTGCTCCCATAGCCTTCTTACAATTAATTCGGCCCATAATGACGCGTCATGCTAGTCGGTGGATGACAACACATGAAATGAGAATCCCTAACGTCTCCGAGTTTATTCTCTTTGTTTCCTCATGAAATGCCTTACGATACCTCGATTACACTGATGAAATAACGATAAGGGCACCCTATACGGTAAAGTAAAACGGCCTACACTCTCTTAGCTTCTCAATAAACATACGAATACAGTCCCATTAAACATGTTACGAACCCCATTATTTCCTTTACGGCAAACAAGTATACATTTACTGGATATAATATAAAGCCTTGTTTTCCAAATTTAAGTTTTTTTTTCAATTTGCATACTAGAACTGAATGCTATTCTCGTCAGTTGGTTAGAATACACATAAAAGCACATCACTGGAACTCTCATAGTCTAACAAGACATAGATCTGTAAAGGAATTGGATCCTAGCCACATTTTCCTCAAAGTTGAATACGAGACAACTGGGAAAGTAGATACTCCACATTTGACGCGAAGAAAAAACTTAATGATGTGAAAAGGTAGGAAGAATGAATTCACTTAATGAAAATTCATGGAATAGCACGGCTCGGCCTTACAAGCGTGGTCATTCGTATGCAATGACACTTTTATTCACATTAAATATATTGCTCTATATCCGACCTAAATGTGTTCTCCATTATACATTTGTGATTGTTACGATACCAATCAGTGTAGACAATGATGGCACTCCCACGTAAGATCTCATAGATTAGGCAGTTACAGCATAACAAACCTACAATCTCAGGATTAGATCTGTCATAAGAATGGACCATAATTCTATAAATCGATGGGGAAACGTTTGACAACTTTACTGACGTAGTGGACGGCAATAGCCTTTCTAAAATTCTTTTCGAGCATAATAACAGTCATTCATTATTACACTCTCTGACTATGGCCCTCCGACTTCCCTTTGTGGTTAAAACAACAAAAATATGCAATAAAATGGTAGCGGATTTCCGGGTTTTCATCGTTCAGCCTGTTTTCACGCACGACGTCATGTGTCTAAGTAGTCTAATAATGTTATATGGTATATTTTTAAATGAAAAATCTTTAACAATAAATGGATAGCATCTCCGACTTCGTTCAAGGTTGTCAGGTGTATGAGTTTCATAATGCTCTGAAATATATCAAAGGTAACCAAAACAATTGTACACTCAGTATCAGAGAGTTATCAAATATATTGTAAAGAATAACAAACCGGAGATGTTTTCTTGAATGAGGTTGGAAGATTCCAAGTGGCAGCTACGTTTATTTTAGCAAAAAAGATCATTCCTGAGTATGATATCTACAAAATGATACTCGAAACAATATGCACAAACACTTTATCACATACAACACGTTAGAAAGAATACATTAATCTGAGTAGTAGTAGTGGTAGAAAAAGCCGAGAAAACAAAGCTGGTTCAGAAAAATTAGTGATAACACCTAAAGTATTACATAAATGTATTTCCGTGTATTTTTCTATTAGCAATCTGTACATCTTATCTTCAACATTACAGAACAGACTCACAAACCATTTAAGATGAGAACTCCTTCACCTCACACCTTTCAGCTGTCATTTCGGCCCAACAATATCGGGGCGTGGTTTTACTATGCAGACGCTTACTTCCACTAGCACGGTGTGACAGTGCCGTGTACAGAAGTACTTTCAGTGGTGCAGAGATCTCCATGCGACTTTAATAGGTATGTTACACCTAGTAAGCTTACTAGAGATGTTTCTGAACCATACGACACTTCGGGAAAGCAATACTTAAACATGGAGACCTCACCGACCAACAAAATTTGGACCAGCTCTTCCAAACCATCGAGTTGCAACACGACTCAGCAACAAAAATTTTACTATAGATAAGAAAGGTTGTTAGTCAATGGACATTTGACGATAGCCTGATATAATCTCACCCACCACCTTAATATTCATCATAGTTGCAGAAGAATTCGAACTACACGAAGGACATGTCTGTAGACCAGGAGCGAAAGATAGACTTGATTAGTGTTAGAAACACAACAAGTACAGCAACCCCTTGAGACATTATAGAAAACCCTGTAGTTTCTCAAGCACCTAAGATTCCGACACGAAGATCCATTCAAGAAACGTTTTCGCCAGCACGACTCAACGGCAACAGTAGCCGGTGGTCTGAACGCAGAACTAACGAACCAAAGTTTATTCGGTTTGGCTCAACTACGTTTCTTTGTAGTTTTTAAGCGACTCTTACTCAATTACATCAGAACACAAACTCTGTGCTCAATTTAAAAGTTTCTACTTTGACAAATAAAATACATTGCATTAGTACAAAATACCTCAAATGGTGCCGTCTGTGTTACGTAATCAAAGGTTCCCTAGCAGAAAGTAACGTGATAACCAGCTAGGCGATACAGACAAACGCCTTATTAAACCCAGTATATGGGCTGTATCTCTACGCTTTTCATATTCATTTGACTTCTGATTATAAAATCGGATCAACCTGTTAATTTATACTGCAACATCTAGTCAGACATTTACTAGTACGGATTATTTGTCGTTTGCACTTCCAGTCTAGTGGTTCATGGGAGTAATCAGTCTCATGGGTATAAACGGCTGTTTATATGTAACCGGTCCTAAATATTCAGTAATACACTCACCAACCATATAACATGATGGTTAACAGTATGCCCAAAGGAATCAAGCTTATTAACACCCTCTGTAACACTAGACATACAACTAACGATTGGTTTCACACCTTGGGTTTATTGAAACCAACAAAAATGAAGTCAAGTAGATCCTAAATGTCCGTATCATTATTCACTATTCATGATGAAAATGTTCTCAGACATTGGAAAACCTAGATTGATGCACTAATCCAACCGTTAGTGTTGCGGGTTAATTATATTCCTTTAGGTGCTTGTGCACCCAACGACTTACCGACAATTCTGTCCATTTCTCGAACAGCCTTGTTTTACATACCTGGAAATCAGATAAATGTAGATACCATAAGCACTAGGAATTTTGTAATGATCAACTCTATTTATATCGACCCTAGTGGTTGTTTTACTTGTGTTTATCAGAAGTCCAATGTGATTTTATTAAGAAATGCAATAAAGTTAGGGAATATGTAAACGTCAACGAAGAGCAAGTTCAGAACTAAAACGAAGCAGATGCCCAGCACTTCCTGTTTATCTTAAGTCAGTTCATAATTTACGTTATAGATGAGTGAAAAATATTTGCATAAATTTGTAGTAAGCTGCCTATGAAGGATGTCACCACGAAGATCTCAGTATTTGTTCTAAACTTCAGGCGAACAAGTCCCATCCTATGACTCTGGAAAGGAGGCTCTAAAATATCGAACTTTACTAAACTAGTTTTAGGTAAATAAAGCACATGAATCACACAAATAGGACTAATGAATATACTCCAGTGAAGAATATCGAGGAACAAAAACAGCAGCCTAAAAAGCAACAATAGAAATAACCGCAATATAAGTGGTGAGTATTCTGGATTGGAAAAGTGAATTCGTCCGAAAAAAGGCAGGAAGTAGTATCTAAGTGTAACCCTAATTCTTTTACTCGACATCATTTCGACCATTTTATATATTCTACGCTAAGACTATCAGTATAGAAGGCTTCTTATGGATTTAAACGCGTCACTAAAATATACTTTTCAGCTGTTCAGTAGGATATTTAGATCGTTAAATAAAAAGCCTAAATAAATCGTCATCTCAAAAGAAATAGAAGATCAAATAAGAGATTGTTCAAAATATTAGATGACTATCATTTTCAACACGTACTTCACAAGAGATATGGAATTTAGAGAAAATATCATTTAAAGTATAGAAGATTGTTTCTCTGGATTTCACCATAAGAAAATTATATCACGTTATTTTCTTGTTTCGAATTTGAGAAATTTCAGTAAATATATCCATCAGTTAGTTGCTTTGCTTTAAAACTTTACAAAAGTTTCGAAGTGTTTCTAAGTTTTTTTGGTGGAAAGATGACGTGTTTTGTCAAAGTAGACACAAACGATGGCATTTGCTTCTTGCCGCAGAATGAGGGATTGGCTGCAGTTGACTCGTATTCAAAAGCAACATCATAGTTCACACGTGTCATGATACTCAACAAATCTAAAGTATTTCCATACCGAAGTAGGACATCAGATAGGGCCCGTATGAACCAAGAACCGTTGACGGAGTTACGAAAAGCATAATAACCTTAGACGAAAAAAACAGCTATGTTTAAAGAATTTAATAACTAGATGAAATTCTAATTTATAATTAAGACAATATATACTGTTATTTAGACGTAGACTTCAGTAATGATTCAATAAATTATAGAGAATGATTTGAATCAAGAAGCTTATAAACAATTTAAGTGACTGATGTAGATGTCGTCACCAAATCAAACATTTATCATAAAAAAAGGCCTCACACAAGAATTTATAGCTCAAATGGATGATTTAGGCGGAGTTTCGTTCTCTGAACTGGATGGTTTGGTCACGAAATCTTTACTGTTCTTCTGATCAACATCATCAACATGTCGTGATATGTTAAAGGTCAACAATAATCAGTCAAGATTGAGGTCTACAGGACAAGCTGTGAATCATATGTGGAGAAAATCGGACACTTCACCTCTACCTGAAGTTTGTGTTAATGATATTTTTCAAAAGAACAATCAAAGTTCCATGACCAAACCATCCAGCTTAGCGTTTATTATGTCGATGAAGTCACAACTTTGAAACAGTGCAACCGAAAATGACTTTTTCACACTTTTCTCTTGGGAACTTAATTCGTTCCTTGCGCCAAGTTAATTATAAACAATTGAAGCCGACAATATCAAATATCATGTGACCGCTTTATCATTGAGTACAGTTCTCCCGTTATAAAATGCGGATAATAAGAATTCATAATTTTATTCAGTTGTCTTTACGGACAAACAATTGTATTCGATCTTCAACCACTTAGTCGCCTATTCGAGTCTGACTTTACCGACCTTGATTTAGGTAGTCGTGTAGTACCACTAACTTTCATATATAACGTGTGGCTCAAAGGCGATTACATGAAGTTATATTGTTAAGTGGCAACATCGATTCAGTGTTAGTAGGTCGTGGGTCAGCATCCCGCCCAACCTGATTTAGTGCAGATGATTGAGTAGCACCGCCATACTTCATACAAACAGTACAGAAAGAAGCTTGGTAAACTAACCTACTTTTGGCTAATGACTTACATTTATCTGAATTAAAATTAATCACAAAGAAGGTGGAAAACAAACCATGAATGTAAACAAATATTTATATCCGCAGTTATGCCCAGTACATAACGCCACATGAAACAAGGAAAAATTGACTTAAAGTTACACTACAATGTTAAGGTTTTACTCTCACATTAATATTGTGTTTCTGCTAAGTTTGCGTCCAAAAATTAACAATTACATCCTCCTTATTAGTAGATACAAAATCAAAATATTAGCTATTATCTGATTCATATTTTAACATACAGACTCCTTTGTTTAATTACTAAAAGGATAACGATTTGAATTGAATAATATGAAACCACTCTAATTCATCAGGATTTTAGCAGCTGCATAGATCCTGTAATATTTGAAAGTAAAACTGCAAATAAAACCTAACATTCTTATAGAAGCGAAGTCGATTACAACTTCATTAAACACATTTCAGTATGACGTCACAAAGATCCAAATACCGATAATAAGATGCTGCAAATAAATATGTCTAAAGATGGTCCTGGAACAGTGAATAAAGTATCAACAAAGGGTCACAGGGTCGACATCCAGTGACGTAACGAAACAAATGTACAAAAGTTAGGGATAATTGATAATAACATGACTCAGGCTCAACTAGTTAAAAATAAAAAACTGCAAAAGAATTGAAGTAATGCAGTTAAACAGGGATTGCATTATCACGTATACTGAGTGTTATTTCCCATTCAGGTTACCATTTTCTGTAAAACTGAATAGAGCGAGAACATATTATCTATAGATTATTGTTCATTTTAATCCAAAGTCAGCATACATACACATAACAGAATCGTTATGAAAACTAAAAGATACGATATCAAACTATATAACCCAATACCAATAGTCTTTCTTACAGAACTTTTGAACATCATCGAACGTGACTCTATTCCCCCTTTGACTCTAACAATAACAATACATCAGTAAAAATAAGTTACACAACTGATTGATCACTGAGCAATGACCAATTCCACGAGTTTTAGTCCTTTAATCCTGAACGCATTTTGTCGATACAGCTGTAATGTGGTCACTGGTTTAAGTGACTCGATATCTATGTAGTTAAGAGCAGTCGGCAGAAAACCTTGGACTTAGGGTTTCTTATTAATTGGTACTTGTTTGCAAGCCATGTCAAGTATCTTGATATAACCAGTTGCTCCCCGTGGGATTCGAATTCATGTCAATCATTCTGCATCATCAATAGGAAAAATTTGATAGGCACCAAAGGATTAACCCAATACTACATTGGACGTTGTTCAGTGACCGACCAAATGTCGACATCTTAGTTTTAAAGGTCATTCGCGACCCGAATACTTTAGTAGTAACATCCACAGACTAACAAGTTGGGGGGCGAGGGTTCGAATCCCATGTGAAGCACTAGTTCCCTTATGATTTTAGATACACCTTGTTGGTGAGTGAAAATTGAGAGAAACCTAGATCCAGGTCTTTCTGCCGACTACCGCCAACCACCTAAGGCAAGTTATATTACTGTCTGCTGACTTCGTACAAATAATTGCACCACTAGCATGTCACGCCTAGTGAATGGGAATAAAAGAAACTATTAGATTGTTTAATAGGTGAAGAACAAATTAATTCTGTCAAATTATGAATGATAAATGAAAATAAGAAAATCGATATATCATGGTGTTCTATAAGGAGAAGTAAATTCGTTTGAACAACTAGCTTTTTATTTCCTAAGCATTATTTTTAGAAAAAAGATCGCTCATTTTGTAAAATTTGAGAAAATTTTTATTCGATAAATAATCCAGTAAATAATACTGTTTCTGTGTTCTGAGCAGACAGTTTAATTGTAGAGTATTAACTGTCGTTTTAGACAATATGATCTGTGTCCACTTCATGTAGAAGTGTGCTTTTCAGTAGTAATAGGCATTAAATCAGTTTAACAAAAAATCAGAAAAAACTACATTACTGCCTGTCGTAATAAGCAGAACAAGCCCAGGAACGTTAGAAACAAAATTATTTAGGAAAGCTAATAATATTGATGATAAATCACAACATTTGGAGTCTGAAATCACAAAAAAAGTTTGTGCACCAACACTATTTAGGAGAGCCAGAAGTCACTCCAAAAATCACGTTATACAAAAAACTGAGGTAATCCACCTTTTGTTAACATTCCGTAAAATTGATTACCTTTACAACTTCCTCAACAGGTTCCATTCAGGTCGATGGGTAAAGAGGATCGTTTAACTATATATGGAAAAAATAATCATAAGGTTTTTGTAATCCCTATGAATCAACGTCACTCAAGATCCCAAAACAACATTCTATCACGAGTAGTGCAGATGGAAAAAAACAATACCAAAGGAAAAAATGTTACATTGTCAACAAAAAAGACTGTATCAAATACCTGAAGCACTATATTGGACGAAGTGCGCACCGACTTCGCCTACACATAAACGAAAACATTAGAAGTGAGACGATATAGTGTTAACACTGGTATTAGTGTACACAAATTATTACGGAAAATTTTAGAATCAGTCAACCATCCAAATCCTAAGAATTCCCGAGAGGTTTTAGAGACAAGAGATTCAGACTAATGGGCAATTCGTAAACATATAAACACAAATCAATCTATAAAATCCACTAAAACCAACTAAACAGGAAAGTTAGCGTGAATATAAGGTCAAATAAAGATAGCAAAATACCTGGGGAGAGACGATTACAAACAAGGTTATTAAAATAAACTGAATTGACGCTTGACATAGAACTGAAAAAAACGGAGAGCCTAAAGAATACCCAAAGCAATGACGCCAATAGAACAAAAAATTTATTTGATCTATTTTGGTAAGCAATTTTAATAGATTTGCTATGCAAAAACTTTTTTAGCACATACAACGAACATGATATTGTAATGTCATTACCATGCCAAGCCTGTATGGGTTATTCTAGCTTACGGACAGACTGATTTATCAGTTATTCTTGTGTCATATTTTGACCTTGCCAATCATTCGCTTACCTTGACTGTGTTTTATATGAGCGTATGTGTGTGTCGTTTACCCTATTCATCACATGTCTCTAGCTTATTTTTGTCTGGCTATAAACACCGAGTCATACTTGATCTCCCGTCTGTTCCTCCGCTTCGATTTTTATCCTGATTGTCTGTTTAAATCAACGAGTGTATAAAATAAGCGTACCCAAAAGTCATCCTCGTATTCGGCTTATTCCGTTATTCAGTAACGCGAATTAAGTCAATACTTATGTACCAGGATAGCCAGGATGTATGTTTCGTTAACATCATTATGAGGTCGAACCGCAGTTAGATCAGTGGGTCACAAAAATATTAATACATTTTAATCTTCATTATCTTACCAATCTCTGTACAGATTGTCTAAAATCCTCAGTAGAATCATTTATATTCTGCCCTTAGCAATTAAGAACATAGATGAGAAAAAAGCTTTACCGATATACGTGTGACAGTCAGTCAGTTACAACGTAGGACCAGGTACATAAATGCATCGGTCCAAGTTGCCACAACTCATTAGCACAAGATGAACACCGAATTCATAGAAGTAGTTACTTCGATGGTAGTAATATATAAAAGATTGTGTGACGGATAAAAATATTACCTAGCTAACCAAGCAGACACAAGTGGATTGATATTCTATTCCGAATTAAAGTTTTATCCCTACATTACATAACCTTGGCTTCATTTCCATTGCACAACAAAGGAAAGATTAACCAACAGAAAATAACACAGATCAGTATAAACTTGAAAAATACCTGGTTGGACTGCATAGGCAATGAAAAGATCTGCCTCAACTGGAATTCGTCTTGTTGTTGTAGCAGCATCCGCAAATTTACTATTAGATAGAGGTCCATCACAAACAAATACACCGTCATCAAGTGCCATTCCACGGCATGCCTAATAAGATTAACAAATAACTAGTTTTAAACATCTTCCAAGTAGTGAATTACACTGACTAAAAGGAACTAAAGACCGAAAAAGTGGGAATTGTAGCTAATAATGAGTCAATACCAATACAGAACACGGAAAAGTTATATCTATTTGAGATCAGCAAACTGACAGGAAGTTAACACAATGAAAGGACAAAAGATGGAAAAAATGACACAGATAATGGTGGAAAGTTTGACACAGAAAACATTTATTTATTTATTTGAACACATAAATTTTGGTACAAGAGGGAACCAAATATATATGCGCCACACAAAACAATGAGAATTTGAAGAGAAGGGAAAAAAAGAAAGGAGCGTAAAAAAAAGAACAATGACGAACAGATTAGTGTAAGGTAGTGTAATAGTAATAATAATGGAGGAAACGAAAAGGTACAATCAGAGGAAATCTTTCAGTTAAGCAAGAAACAACGACTTTACGAAGAAAGTAAAATAACGTTACAGCAAGATCGCCACTGGCTTCTATTCAGAGCCATAGCTGATAACGTCTCTAGCCACTGTGTTGCACCATCTCTCGGACCCCAGCCAGGGAGTCGTAAAGGACCAAAACAAGCCAACCCTTTGCAGCTTTCTTTCATACCACGACACCATGTAATACACTGACCACCTCTCCGCTCTTTCCAACCAGTCCCAGAGTCGGCAAATGATGTACGACGAGGAATCCTCTGGGATGACATTCGTAGAACATGTCCAAGCCACCAAAGTCGGTGTTTCAAGATGGTGACACCAATTGCATTATCGTCTCTGTGCCAGAACACACGATGCCGAACCTCTGCATTACTTACATGGTGTTGCCACTGGATTAGAATCCTGCCAGTCTTGTAGAAGTACTTTGCACTTCGAAGGTGCAAAGCACATAACATACCTACGGATATTGATTGCCAACTGATCAAGTGCGGATTGCATGGCTTGAACATTCTCGCACAGTAAGACAATATCATCCGCATACTCAAGGTCGAGAAGTCTTTCTCCAGGCAACAGATTCACACCACCATTACTTACATCCATCAGAGCTGTTTCCAGAATGTCATCGATGGCAAAGTTGAAGAGGAATGGTGAGATTGGACAACGCTGTCTAACCCCAATGCTCGAATGGAATAATGGAGAGAGGTGGTTGTATGCCCTCACTCTGCCTGAGGTGTTTGTATATAGGGCCTTTAGGATGTTAATAAACTTCTCAGGCACACCCTTCTTCAATAGACAATCCCAGAGAGCAGTTCTATCCAACGAAACGAAGGCAGCTCTGATGTCAAGAAACAATACGATTGTTGGCTTTTGATAAGTATGACGGTGTTCTAACATTTGGCGGAGGGTGAAGACATGATCAATGCATCCTCGACCGGAACGAAAACCAGCCTGCTCCTCGCGAGTCAATCTCTCTTGGGTTTTGAACAACCTACGAAGTATAACGGAAGCCAATAGCTTGGACGCAATCGGAAGTAGACTTATCCCCCGATAGTTGGTACAGGAACAACGTGAACCCTTTTTAAAGATAGGGACAACTATCGACTCCTTCCATGACGTTGGAACACTCTCTAGTTCCCAGACCTTTGCCCCCAAATGCCCTGGTACGGCCGAGAGTGGGGAGAGTCCACTCACCCTCTCAAAATACTCTCACATGGCCACGCGTATATAGCCTCTGTCAGGGAAGTCCTACTCACTGCCTTCACGTGGCGGGGGTGTTGTTTACGAAAATGAGAGGACGAAGAGCGAATGTCCGGCGCTTTAACCGGATCCCAAACCAATGGTGCACATGGGCTGGCTCCAGGATCCTGAAGGAACAAATGGCGTATGAACCAATCGTTGGTCACCGGCTACCATGGGACTGCATCTCCTTACGATGTTCCGCTGCCTTGTGGGTCAGACATTCAGGTCGAAGGCTTGCGGTGTGGCCCCCTAAGAAAACCACCTGGTTGAGTTTGGGCACCCGAGTAGTATCACAGCCCTTGCACAAATCAAATGAGATCTGTGTGGCGCATATGTACTTGGTGCCTCCTTGTACCAATATCTATGTGTTGAAATAAAAATTAAAAAAAATAAGACCTTTGTAAACAACGCCCAGGAAATATAGCTCAGAAGAAACGAATAAAATCATAGGATGGTACCACTGCAACCAATTTTGAGGTATAAAATTAACGATAGATGGCAAATATCGCGCAAGCCACAACTATGAATACCTGCACAGCTCAGACCACTAGTTTATTTCTTGTTTGCTAACTTAACACGACAGATATTACTCATCGTATCAAGACACTAACTTTGAAGCTCAGCTTGGTAATAAACATCTATTAGGATCCAGAATCGGCTAGTATTTTTAACATACGATGAACTTCTTGAATTCACAATTAAAAACAATTAACTGGTGCAAACAAGTAATTGATAGTCACTTTTGAGCAACTCTATCAAAAGTAGTCGACCAGTTTGTTTATTTATTTGAACACATAAACATTGATACAAGGGAGCACCAAATACATATGCACCACACAATAAAAATGAGTTTGTGAAGAGATAATGTAAAATGTGTATAATAAAAAAACGATAATGATAATAATAAAAATAAAGAAATAGTTCAGTTAGCAAAAATATAACCAGGAAGAATTCTCTCAATTAAAGTAGTTACGTTCATTTTTTATGAAGTTAAAGAAAACTAGAGCACGATCGTCACTGGCTTCTATTCTGAAAAAGGACATTTTATTCCAAAGAAGATTACAGAGTATAGCTATTATCAAAGTTTGGAGAAGGATTAGAAACAATAAGCCAGGCTGTTAGCGGGACATAGATTGGATTAAAGCATACTCAATGCACGATTGCTCTGGTGCACGCTGATTGACTAGTTCTTATCCAATCAGTGCTAGTCGATACTTGGAGAACACTAGAAATCTCATGTAACAATTATAAATACACTAACGTCTTTCCGATTGCGCTTCTTACTTCCATCTAACCTTGTTATTTGGAATATAATCTCTTTCCTGTTCAACCGTGTTCTGATATGGAGATTTGTCGAGGGCATTAGTGTCCGAGAATACTAGGCAATAGGAATAGCTAGGTTGTAATAAGAGAAATATAACACAGGCAAACATAGAAGCAACCAGAACATCTCTGAATGGAAACCAAAGTTGAAAGAATTTAAAACGAAATAATGTACTCCTTGTACAAAGATAACAAACCAAGGCAGAATGAGAAAAGTATTAGTTGTGCCCGAACTAATAGTTTGGATTTAATCTAGTTCTCTGATACTTGATTTAATAAGAGACTATTATTAACTATATTACAATTTACTTTCAATCATCGACCAGTGGACTCGACTGTCAGCTACATAACAAACAGGTATCTGTTCCCTATTTACTGAAGAAAAAAAATAATCATGTCTTCAAATCAATCGGAAATGAATAAGTGTTTGCTGGTTATTTATTGACATAGTATGTACAAATGATTTAAAACGTCACTATGATCTCAAAAAAAGCACGTAGTTCTTACCTATAATAGACATGAACATAAAATGCAGCTATATCTCTTAACTGAAAGGTGATGAATTCTACCTAACACAATTCTTTTTGTAACAGGCTTACTCTATTGATAGGAAGATATCAAAATAGAAGAAAAACACATGATATACTTGTTGTGATGGTGAAACTTTTGGTTACTTAGTGACTATCTTCAATCTTTTTTAATCGTTATTCAGATGACCAACTCTGCTATTTGATGGATATAAATGATAGCTCTCACTATCTAAGATAGAGTCAGTTGCTTTGTTAATTTATGATTATATTATTATTATTATTTTAACACATAGATATTGGTACAAGGAAGCACCAAATACATATGCGCCACACAGATCTCATTTGATTTGTGCAAGGGCTGTGATACTACTCGGGTGCCCAAACTCAACCAGGTGGTTTTCTTAGGGGGCCACACCGCAAGCCTTCGACCTGAATGTCTGACCCACAAGGCAGCGGAACATCGTAAGGAGATGCAGTCCCATGGTAGCCGGTGACCAACGATTGGTTCATACGCCATTTGTTCCTTCAGGATTCTGGAGCCAGCCCATGTGCACCATTGGTTTGGGATCCGGTTAAAGCGCCGGACATTCGCTCTTCGTCCTCTCATTTTCGTAAACAACACCCCCGCCACGTGAAGGCAGTGAGTAGGATTTCCCTGACAGAGGCTATATACGCGTGGCCATGTGAGAGTATTTTGAGAGGGTGAGCGGACTCTCCCCACTCTCGGCCGTACCAGGGCATTTGGGGGCGCTTTTTTAATTTGTCCTCTTATATGTATTCAATTAGAAGTTGACGGTTCGTTTAGCTATCAACAATACGACACTCGTATATATGATGGCTAATTTAGTGCTTTGGCTCAGTAAAAATTCAGGAGCAACATCATCAACTGACTAGCTTTGGTTTGAACAACCTAATAGCTTTAGTAAATATAAGACAGTAGGAAGATTCAAACAACCAATACAAAATTGAATTAAATTCTACCCCATTGCACAAACCAGTGGCTATCTGGACTCAGCAGCTAGGTGAATAACGCGATGGCGTTTCAAGCGAATGGTATTGGGTTTAAGTCTCGGAGTGTGCATCAACTCTGGGATACATGTACATCCAGCTGACGAGTCAAAATACGACGAAACGCGCATTAAGGATTCCACTGCTAGCCACCAAATATTTCTGCTTATAATGTCTGTGACTTAATGAAATATCGAGGCACTCTGCACAGGGCGCATATATGCCAACAAGAGACTGGTCAATTGCGGTCCTAAACATCAATCAAAAGATTCAAACAACCAGCACAAAAATGAATAAAACAAGTGTGGTTCAAAACTTACTAAACACACTTGTACTTGGTTATTGTATCATAAAATAATAGATATGTACAACATCCTTTACAAAAGTCAGAATAGATTAAAGGATTGGTAAGGTTAGCATAATCTTCAACTTGTTATAACTTGTGACCTGTGTGCCCTGTTAATGTATAACATAACGATACCGCCATTTAGAGAGCAGTGAATTATCCATCGGTTCAATGACGCATTAAACACCTGTGAGCAGTCAAGAGTCCTGATTGATCCTGCTTTCCGCCTAGCCCAACCAGTTAAGTCCAGAATACCAATCTCAGCCTCAGTCCATAAATGGATCCCAAAGTTACCATTCATTATGCATATCGGGAGCTAACACAACTGTAAGGTGAAAAAAGTTCTCATTTTAATTTCAATGGTTGAGAACATGAGTCAGTTGAAGCTAGACCACCATGGAAAACCTGGAAGCACTGGACGGCCGTTTCGTCCTATTGTGAGACTACTCAGCAGTGTGCGTTCACGATCTCGCCCCCTGCGATATTCGAACCCAGGACCTACCAGTCTCGCGCGCGAGCGCTTAACTACTAGACCACTGAGCCGCCATCCAGAGGTGTTAATGTCTATCTTCAGTTGTGTTTTCACACGTATATATAGTTCTACATGACTTGCTCGGAGAACTAACCAATATTTTCTTTAAAAAACCCTAATTGTTTTCTAAAACCGTTACACATTAGTGCTCAGAAACTAGATTTACATAATTAAAAAGGACATACTTGGATAAAGAATAGTTTTGGCTTGCCTCTTAAATCCAAACATTGATCTCCACGAAATGGAGCGATGATACGATCCACGGGAATAGAACCATCTGTTGCGTATATTAATCCACCCTCATCACCATGAGAAAGAATTACACAAACGAAACAATCATGGTCACGTAGATTTTGTGTTGAGACTGAAATTACACAATTTTAATGAATATGTGCATGAATAAGTCATGGATAAAAGTGTAACAGTTAATAACCTTTATTATTTTAAAATTTGAGTTTACTTATGGTAGTAAAAGCTTTATTGAGTAAAATGAAAAGCGTTTTTCATCTGTTGGCGAAACGTATCTATACTTTAGTAATCAGATGTGCTCTTATTACTACCAATGGACTTGGTGTGGTGTTAAAAACTGTTACGTTATAATAAGGTTTGTATGTCACAGTAAGTGCTTCATATGCCATTTGTTCCTTCAAGATCCTGGAACCCATGAGCACCACTGGTTTGGAATCAAGGTTTTCCAACTCTTCTAGATGGACTTTCCGTAGCCACTAACCAGTTGAAGCGCAGGACATTCGCTTTTCGTCCTCTCAATTTCGTAAACAATGGTAATGTCGCAAGAAGCCGGTGAGTAGGACTTATCTCAGTCAGTCAGTCAGTAACAACGTGGAACTTCGTACGTACGTACATCAGTTCGAGTTGCCATACCACATTAGCACAGAGATTCAGTTATCGTCTCAAATCCCGTAGTGGCAGAGTAATGAAAGTATAAGTAGTGACAAGAAACGTTAAGGTTTGATGATGTTATTTAAGGAGTATAGTCCAGTGGAATGTATTTGGAAAGAAAATAAAGGACATGGAGAATTTAGAAGATTAGAGTTTGGGAGAACACAAAGAGTGGATGCACCTGCGCCATTGCAAACGATTTTCAGCCATGTCATTCAAGGTCTCTAACCATCGGTTGCTATCATCTCGCGGTCCCCAACCAAGTAGTCTACATCTACCAACATGGCTCAGTCCACTTGTCAGTGACTTCGTGGATTTGTGCCATGTTTTGGTCTGGCCGCCCCTAGCTTTCTTCCAACCTATTCCTACACCACAAAACATCGCACGTCGTGGCAGTCGGTGGTCTGGCATGCGCAACACATGTCCCAGCCATCTCAACTGATTAAGTTTCACTTCTTCACCAATTGATTTCCCATCCTTACCTAGTACCCGTATCCTAGCAACTGCATTGCCCCCAAACGGCCGAGAGTGGGGAGAGTCCGCTCACCCTCTCAAAATACTCTCACATGGCCACGCGTATATAGCCTCTGTCAGGGAAATCCTACTCACTGCCTTCACGTGGCGGGGGTGTTGTTTACGAAAATGAGAGGACGAAGAGCGAATGTCCGGCGCTTTAACCGGATCCCAAACCAATGGTGCACATGGGCTGGCTCCAGAATCCTGAAGGAACAAATGGCGTATGAACCAATCGTTGGTCACCGGCTACCATGGGACTGCATCTCCTTACGATGCTCCGCTGCCTTGTGGGTCAGACATTCAGGTCGAAGGCTTGCGGTGTGGCCCCCTAAGAAAACCACCTGGTTGAGTTTGGGCACCCGAGTAGTATCACAGCCCTTGCACAAATCAAATGAGATCTGTGTGGCGCATATGTACTTGGTGCCTCCTTGTACCAATATCTATGTGTTAAAATAAATAAAACAACTGCATTAGTTACTCGGAGGTCCCAGGATATACGAGCAATGTTTCGAAGACACCTATGATCAAATACTAGTAACCTACGAATATCCTCTACTCTTATCGGCCATGTTTCACTACTATAAAGTAGGACGGAACGAACTGCTGCGCAGTCAACTCGTCCTTTGGTTACTAGACGGATATCTCGCCTACGCCACAAATGACGCAAGTTGGCAGAAGCTAGTCGAGCCTTTTGTATCCGTACTGAGATTTCGTCACACACCAGACCACAAGGGCTGATGAGACTCCCCAGATAAGTGAAGCGGTCGACACGCTCAACAACTTCACTCTCTATCACTAGTTCGGGTGTCGACGCAACCCAATCGTGAAGCAACATTTTGCATTTCGAGGGAGAAAATCGCATGCCGAACATGCCTGCATTGTTGCTTAGAGTGGTCAGCAGACTCTGCATTTTGTCAGCGTCTTCACTAAATAGAACTATGTCATCGGCATATTCTAAGTCAACAAGTGAATCTCCCGGTAAAAGTTCAACTCCTAGAAATTTAGATGAGGGAAGTGTCATCTCTAAAAAGACGTCAACAACAAAGTTAAACAAGAATGGAGAGAGTGGACAGCCCTGACGAACACCACTTGAGGTAATCAGTTCTGATGACAGTTCGCCATAAGCTCTCACTCGACCAGTTGTGTTCGAGTAGAGAGCCTTTATAAGGTTAATGTACTTCTTTGGTACTCCTTTCAGTGACAAAAACTGTCATAGAACCTCACGATCAACAGAGTCAAATGTCGCCTTAAGGTCGAAAAATACTATCATTGTGGGGCGTCTGAATGTGTGTCTTTGTTCTAGAACCTGACATAGTGTGAATATTTGGTCAATACAACCACGTCCAGGTCGAAAACCAGCCTGGTTTCCTCTAGTCTGCATTTCACGAGCTTTGGTTAGACGTCGAAGTATTATTGAAGCTAATATTTTAGACACTATATTAGTCAAACTGATTCCTCTGTGATTGTCACATGAGGACTTTTGTCCTTTCTTATAGACTGGCACAATCAGTGGTTGAGACCAGTCAAATGGGATTACGTCCAGTTCCTAGATTCTACCTAAGACCTGAGTCAATCTCGCTGCTAATACTGGACCGCCATCCTTAAAAATCTCAGGGGTAAACCTGTCAGGGCCTGCTGCTCTCCCACGCTTCAGATTTCCTATAGCTTTTTCAACTTTGTAAAGAGTCGGAGGATTCACATTAATTTGCCATTCAGGTAGATTGGAGATCGTGAGAAACCGAAGTGTGGCTGAAGGCCAGTTGAACTGATCCCTAAAGTGTTCTGCCCATCGATCCAATCTCCTAAAATTGAGAATGAATAATATGTCCATCTTTTACGGGGATAGTTTCGCTAACAGTTGGGTTCCTAATCCCGGTTTCCTTAACAAGTCTGAACAGTTGCCTGCTGTTACCTATTGCCGCTGCCTTTTCCATCTCTCTTGCTTTCGCTACCTACCACTGTTCACGATCTTTGCGTAGGCTTCTAGTCAGCTTACGCTTAAGCTGACTCCGCTCTTCGTTATGTTCAGAGCCAGATGGAATGAGTTTTCGAGCATCTATCAGTGTGGTAGACGCTGCTGAGATCCAGTGTTTCTCCCTAACCTTATGGTTTACCGTACTTGCAGACATCACTGCTGTTTCTACAGCTTTGCGGATGTCATTCCACGCTGCCTCGGGGTGTGCATCACTTACATGGCTGCCTAACTGTTTTTCTAGTTGTTCCTGAAATATACTCTTAGCTTGACTATCATCAAGTGGGACCCTAAGGGGTTTCCTTGAACCATCTTTCCTACATCCAGTAAGACGTAGACAAATACGCGCTCGTAAGACACTGTCCCAGGTCTACTGAAACCTCGCTCCAAACTACACATTGGAGCCTTCAACGTACGCACACTATGCCAAATCGGTCAGCAAGCTTCCTTGGCTAAAACCTTAGAATCTCGTACGATTGATGTATGCTGTGTCTCCGAAACACGCATACAGGATCCTAGTGTGGTCATACACTTGACCTCACCTCGGCAAAACGGAGTGTCGACGAGATACACCCTCCGTGTATCTGGCGACCCGATGGCTAGTTCTCGTGGACTTGCAGGTGTAGGCATAGCACTAAGCATGAGGGCGGAACAAGCGCTATTAGAGTGGATCCCCGTTAATAGTCGTCTATGCGCTGTTCGGCTAAACGGCTCGGTAAGAACTCGAAAGGATAGGCACACACGTCGTTGCCTTTACGTCGTTTCTGCCTACGCTCCCACTGACTGCAGTTCGAATGAAGTGAAAGATGACTTTTACAGAAAGCTGTCTGAACTTCTTCAGAAAGCTAAACGTTCAGACATAGTACTCGTAGCAGGCGACTTTAATGCCCAGGTAGGTAGCTTAGACGAAACAGAAAGACATTCAGGTGGGTATTTTAGTATTCCGGCACAGAGAACAGATAATGGTGATCGTCTGCTGCAACTTTGCTCAGACAATCGTTTATTTTTAGCAAACACAAATTTTAAGCATAAGGAGAGACATCGTCCAACATGGTGACCCCCTGCACCAAACCAACGATGGACTCAAATAGACCATATTGCCATCAGTCATCGTTGGAGAGGGTCGATAGAAGATTGTCGCTCATTCTGGAGTACCTGCTTGGACTCCGACCATGCCCTAATACGAGCACGCATCTGCTTGCGCCTCACTAGACGCAAAAAAGCCACACAAAAAAGACTCATTAGAACCGAATTGAGTAATGAGAAAACCAAAAGTAGGTTCCAGGAACAACTGAGGTCACACTTAGGTAGTTCTGAAAACGAGGCTGACCCCGATGTTGATTGGAAAGACGTACAAGCGGCTGTGGAAACAGCAGTGACATCTACTAGTGATTTAAAAAACAGGGTTACAAAGAACCAATGGATTTCTTCAAGGTCTATTGCACTGATAGATTCTCGTAAACTCATCCCATCAGGTTCTGAACACGATGAAGAGCGTAAAGAAATCAGATCTAGGTTAAGCAAAAGTCTAAGGAACGATCGTGAGCAGTGGTGGGCAACGAAAGCAAAAGAGATGGAAAAGGCGGCGGCTATAGGGAACACAAGACAACTCTACAGACTAATAAAAGAAACGAATTAATAAATCAAGTGTAAGTCAGACTATTTCGGAAAAAGACGACACTCTCATCTGCTCCCAGTTCAGACGATGGGCGAAACATTTTAAGGAGCAGTTCAGTTGGCCTCCAGCTACTCTACAACTACCCTCTATTCCCAGACAGTATGAATGGAACATTGAAGTAGGTTCCCCAACTCTAGCTGAAGTTCAAAAGGCTATAGCTAATCTGAAACGAGGAAGGGCAGCTGGTCCAGATGGATTGGCCTCAGAGGTCTTTAAGGATGGTGGTCTAGTTTTAGCGATTAGGTTGACTAATATTTTAGCTAAAATCTGGGAGTTAGACGTCATCCCATCTAACTGGTCACAATCACTTATCGTCCCAATATTTAAGAAAGGGTCAAAATCATCCTGTGGCAACCACAGAGGGATTAGTTTGACTAATATAATATCTAAAATACTAGCTTCGATAATTTTCGGACGCCTAACTAAGACTCGTGAACTGCAAACACGTGAAAATTAGGCTGGCTTCAGACCTGGTCGTGGATGCATAGACCACATATTCACCATTCGTCAGGTTCTAGAACACAGGCATACTTATCGGCGTCCGACAATAGTGGTCTTCCTTGACTTAAAAGCAGCGTTTGACTCTGTTGACCGAGAGGTTCTGTGGTAGTGTCTGTCATTGAAAGACGTACCTCAGAAGTACATAAACCTTGTGAAGGCTCTTTACTCGAACACTACTAGTCGAGTCAGAGCTTATGGCGAACTGTCATCTGCTTTTGCAACCTCAACTGGTGTCCGTCAAGGCTGTCCACTTTCTCCATCTTCGTTTAACTTCATCATAGACCTCCTGATGGAAATAACGCTCTCATCGACTGAATTCTCAGGTATTGATCTCCTTTCAGGAGGTCCACTTATTGACTTAGAATACGCAGGTGATATAGTCCTGTTTGGTGAAGACGCTGATGAAATGCAGAGTCTTTTGGTTGCACTGAGCAACAATGCTAGAATGTTTGGGATGCACTTCTCTCCCTCTAAATGCAAGTTGTTGCTTCAGGACTGGTCTGCGTCAACACCTGAACTAAGGGTAGCAGGTGAATTAGTCGAACGCGTTGACAACTTCACTTATCTTGGAAGTCTGATCAGCCCTAATGGGTTGGTGTCTGACGAAATCTCAGCACGGATTCGAAAAGCTCGCTTGGCCTTTGCTAACTTACGTCATTTATGGCGAAGGCGAGATATTCGTCTATCAATTAAGAGACGAGTATACTGCGCGGCAGTTCGTTCCGTTCTACTATACGGCTGCGAAACATGGCCATCAAGAGTAGAAGATATTCGTAAGTTACTAGTATTTGACCACAGGTGCCTTAGAAACATTGCTCGCATCTGCTGGGATCATCGGGTAAGTAATGGTGAGGTTAGACGCAGGGTATTAGGGAATGATGGTAAATCAGTTGATGAGGTTATGAATCTTCATCGACTGAGATGGTTGGGCCACGTGCTGCGTATGCATGAACACAGATTACCACGACGCGCAATGCTAACCGGTGTTAGGGATGATTGGAAGAAAGTTAGGGGCGGCCAAACCAAAACGTGGCATCAGTGCTTGAAGTCTCTAACTTCTGGTCTGAGCCATGTCGGTAGATGCAGACTACCTGGTTGGGGTCCGCGTGACTATCGTAACCAATGGTTGGAGACTCTTGGTGACATGGCTCAGAATCGATCACAATGGCGTCGGTGTGTACACTCTCTGTCTTCCTTTAAACTAAAAGATTAAAATCACTTCAAATCTTTCTTTCTAGGAACTAATTCTATCTTCCTGTACTATCTCCTTATACACACTCTTTCTTCTATATATTACCACCACTGAATTAACTACTTCTATGAATCCGGTGTTCATTTTGTTGTGCTAATGCGGTATGGCAACTTGGACCGATGCATATACGTGCCTGGTCCTACGTTGCAGCTGACTGAGTCCTTACTGTTCCGTTTAGTCGGACAGCGCACAAACGACTGTCTACTGGGATCCAGTCTAAGAGAGCTAGTTCTGCCCTAGGACTCAATGCTATACCTACGCCAGCGAGGCCACGGGAAGCAGCATCAGAGCTTCCAGATACACGAAGCGTAAATCGGTTGGTTCGTTACTTTGATATGGTGAGGTCAAATGAATGACACTACTCGGATCCTGTGTGCGCATTTCGGAGACGCAGCACACATCGATGGAGCGAGATTCTAAAGTCCTAGCTAAGGAAGCCTGTTGTCCTATTTGGCACAGTGTTCGGACGTTGAAAGCTCCTATGTGTAGTTTGGAGCGTGGTTTCAGGAGACCAGGAATAACGTTCCGCGTACTCGAATCGTTAGCACTAGTGGGGCGAGGTGATAAAGGGACGTAAGAAGGGTTAGTCGTGGAGATAAGAGAGTTATTAGGTGTAGGAAGGATTTGAATGTGACCAACGTGGTCTCGTGTGCTGTTACGGGTATGAGGGCTATCACTTCCCGGCTGCCCACACCGAGGAAGTGTATTTCTTGAGGAACCTGAGAAGGAAATCGGGTTAGTGTTGGTCTTAACGACCTGGGTGCGTGACCGCAGAGCCCAAGGGACAACTGCTTGAGGCCGGTCGTGCACGGCCTTTTTGTGGGAGGTTTTTAATGTGTTAGCTCCGTTCTTCAAAAGGCATTACCGCCGGAGACGGAAATCCGTGGGGTAAGGTGAGGTGTGACATTTTTAGGGTCAACCTTTTCTAACTCCTTCCTTTCTTGTGAGAAGGCAGCATCAATGCAGATGCTGGTTGTCCGAGGGAAACACCTTACTGCTGTCACACCTCTGTACAGTCAGCAGTACGACTTCTCCCTCAGACCTTGAGTTGCTGCTTTTAGTCTTACCGTTCTCTAATCGACCTGCCTGGCATGGTAGAACCTGCAGGAACATGTGTTCCAGCCAATATAGCTCGGTTGGGTCATCACGATAGGTAAACCCGACCACCACGTCAAGGTAGCAGCTACGGTCGTTGCAAAATATTATATATATATATATATATATATATATATATATATATATATATATATATAATCGGTCTTTCCGCCAGTTTTTTTTTGGCTCACACTCAAAATGGGACGAAACATTTGTTCAACCGACACTAAAATGTTCTGAAAACTACTAACAGATTATAAAAAATCTCTACAAAACCACCCAAGTAAATATGTTTTACACCTTATATAAACTAGACTTAATCCACAAAACTTACTTGTTTGGATTAAAGAAAATAAACTTGCGGATGTCGGATTTGAATGCACTATGACTCTAAAGTCGAGGCTCGAAAAAGCTCTCTTAATGTTTTGTATATCAATCAAAGAGCCATTTCTTGGTGGTAAACAAAGTATGGGATCAAATTTATCAACTGAAAAAACAACACACAGTCCACGCTCAGCACCATCTGTGCGGTAGACATACGAAGAAGGACTCTTTTCTGAAGGTATGCTGAAAACCGGTAATAAAGAAGTACACGAAACAGAACACTTCAGTGAACTGCTCCAAGTTTTATTATTAGGTTTGTTTTGTGGGCTATCACAACTTAAACTTGATCTTATTTGTGTTGAAGAATGTTCTTCTACGAGCGACAGATTTCTAAAACATTAACAAGAAAGTGACAGAATTACGTATTAGAACTATCCACATCATCCACCATCACCTTCTATGCTAAATCCTAAATCATGTATTCAGGAATTAAAAAAAAAATAAAGGTAGTTTATTCTGAGGTTACAAAAGAACAAATAAAGTAGAAAGCAACTGTTAATTTCAACTAAAATACACAATCAACTTTAGCATACAAACACATTTCATTCTAACAGTTCACATAGAAATGAAATCCGTTTAGAACACTGATATATTGCCCTGAGCAAGTTCATTTTGTTTAACGAATAAGGCCTAGATACATACACATTTTGTGGGTACGATAAGGATGGTGAGAAAAATTCAAATGTTTCTAGTTGACATAATTATCTCTCACCGGTGTGACTACACAGAAGCACGGAATAGTGGGTTTATGTATTCATTATTCGAAAGTAACCTAGTGTTATTTCGTAAGTCCACGTATCTAGTCAAAGAACTGCTACATTGATATGATCAACAATGCTACAAAAGGAAGATTTGGAGTGAGAAATTACTGTACTAGACCTAAGCATTAACTAAAAAACACACGTTACCATAGAACTGACTCAAATATGTGCTAAACAGAGTAGCGGTTCAAATTTGGAGGAGCGTGAAGAGTAACATGTGGAGAAAATAGAACAGTAAAAGCTAAAACGACTCATTAGTTACATCAAATATACCTAAATAAAATAATGAAAGTAATCAACAACGAATTGCAACAACAGGTAATAAATCAGGACAAACTGACTAGAAGTGCTAGCAAGATTTCAAATCTATTAGACACAAAACTCCCAGCTTTGGAGCAAAATTGACTAACTTGGGAACAGTTTGTTTAGAAATTTTGAAAAAAGGAAACACCGCCCAGAGTTCAGTCAGGTATGGGTTTTGTCACGTAACTTGAGAGAATATCGAGAAGCAAAGATGGAAAATACCAAAATTTTCACTCGGTTCGGGCTTTTCCCAGAAACTACCCAAAATATCTACTGACTTCGGGAAAAGACCTTCATCTCCCCAGGAGAATTTCCATAACTGATTACATATCGTTCAATAAAATTGGTAATTACTCATATCGATTTCGCTGGACATGGTGGAGATTGCATTAGCAGACGAACAATTCCACGGTTGCTTTGTAAGTTTCAACTGCTGTTCATCACACTTCCAGTGAGAAAATTGCCCGGGATGCACAGAGTAGACCCTTGTAAGCCCGAAGGACTACTGTTGGTGTATGTCCTACCACGACAAATAGCCACCGAATATACATTGCATGGAACGAAAAGCAAGTCACATATGTAGCAAACATTACTAACTAGATGTTTAAGGTCCAAAGTTCAATCAGTCGACGAGAGCGACATAAGGGGACTGATTAAACAGGTCGGGTTTATTCGGATGGTGTACGAATAAAGTATACAAGTGGAGACCAAAAGAAAACGTAAGTATAAACTGTACATATGGTCCTATTTTAGTCTCCCTAAAATCTCTCCAGACATCGGGAGAAACCACGAATCCTCAAGACGTTGTGAAAACCTTAAAAAGCCCCAGAATTTCCCCAAAATCCAGAGATAGAGAAGTAAGAGCTAATCTTAACTGGGGTAATTAGTACACAATTAAGCTATCAAAACGGCAGAAACTTAAAAAACCGGACCTTTATCCACATTATTAATCAATCTTGGTAGTAGATCTGTCGAATATTTCGTAGAAATTGTGGGCAGAAACCGCAAACTCAGTCAACAGTTTGGGAGTTCATCTAAGGAAGGGGATTATCCCATGCAGTAGACTATGGGAAAATCCAATTACTACTTTAACAAAAAACCAAACCCTAAATGATTTCACGAGTCCCTCAAACATGCAAGGGAGGGAAATAAAGGCGGGCAACGCGGAAATAAATTGGACATTCCTTCTAGAATATAAGGGGGAAATAATGGGAAGACGAGCCAGTTTACTTTTTCGCCTGTCATGAGGGAACGATGCGGTATCTCCCTTCTGTCCCTCTGCGTTTATAGAGTTGCTGAACTGTCTACTTTTAGACCACATACACATCGAATTGCCCACTTTCCATCCAAATGTACGGGGCCACGTGTGCACACTGTACTTTTTAGAACGTTTTCATAAGACTGTCTTATGATTCGTCCAGAGTCCATCAATATTGCCCTGAATGGTGGAGCTTGTATTGGGAACAATACGAGAAATGAAGGCAATGACACCGTGAACACATGGGGTCGACCTACATCTGACAGCGAGATCAACAGACCCAAAACGAACATATCCAAACAGACCGCCTTGGCAGAAGTGAAGAATTCTCGAATTATTAAAACTATTTCCCAATATATTTTTTTCGAGAACAAGCGAATAGCGATTAATTTATATACGAAGAGCTTCCGGCTGCCTTTAACATGATTGATTATGTATTCCTAGTTTGTGAATCGAATTAAGAATGAGTAGTTTAATGCTAATTGGTTAAGACGATAGTCACACGTACACTATCATGCTCACATCTCTACCACAACTTATGAGACAGAAATACTTACAAATTATTATCAGTGACAATGAGGTCCATAAGATATTAAGATGGCGAAGATGCCACAGGTATTCGGAGTTTGACAACAGTTTAACCAGTAACATCTAATATGAATAGTACTCACCAAGTGAAATCAAAAAACAGAAGCGAGGAGGTTCGAAGATATATTTGTTAAGCTGTCAAGGTGGAATTCTAATCTATGGACGAGGAATTTCAAGGTCATGGCGCTAAGTTCAATGCGAGATGCTCACATTCGATCGTTTTACAGCAAATTTTAGAGAAGTAGTGATTGTTGAGCGACTACATTAGATGGGACTATTAAGAAGTTCTTGTTTCTGTGACTGCGGCAATTAAATGATTGCAGCGCGATGTGCGGGCTACCGTGATGACATTATATATCGTTGTATTATATGTTGGAGAAAAAAATTTGGCACTTTCTTTGCCCGGTCACGGCTCAAGCCAAGACGAATCATGATAATTGTTGGAATCGGATCATAAAGTCTCCAGTAACATTAGCTGCGGCTTCTGCAGATGTAACGGAAACTTTCGCCTGCATCATGTTGTAGTGATAAACGTCATTTTGTCGATTCAACGACGGGGGTTCATACAAACAATATTGAAGGCAGGTAGTCTCGGCTGAAGTATTTTTTAAGACTCTAGCACGGCTCCAGAGGACGATTATTGTGGAGCCATATTGACGAGTTCCTATACCGCATGCATCATGATTTCAAAACTTCGGAACGTTTATCAGTATTTTATAATATATTTTTACTTTATAATAACTCTATTCTGATTGGTTAATGTTCTCAAGGTCACTTAAACATACGTTCAAAGATCGTCCATAAAATAGTTTTACCAGCTATCAATACATCGAGGATCGTCTGAACCAATCTTGCTAGCGATTGCAGTAGATGTGGAGCACGGCGTTCCAACACGTGATCTGGTGTGGTTGCGTGACCGAGCGCCTTCAGCTAGATGAGTCCATTTAAACTAATGTGGTCAGCATCTAACGTCGAAAACTTACAGTGATATTTATTTTAAGATGTATTTACCGCTACAGATCATTCCCTTATAGTAGAATAGTGGTGACCTTAAGACGTGGCCAGTCAGAAGTTTGAACCCAACGAGTTTTTCGTTCGTAAACACTCTTCTGATAGCTTGCTAGGTTTAGCTGCGTCTGGTCGTCTTTCCTTACTATAATGGACCATGAAGTACAATATAGTAAAAAGAAGAAAAGAAAAAGTACAATGAAGATGTCCGTTTCTCGCAAGCTTCATCATTCTTTTTATCGTCTTTTCCAGCCGTCCTGGAAAAGAAAAGAAAAATATGTAAGTGCATGTCGAAATACGCTCGTACGCGCGTAAATATACAAAATGAGCGAAAAAATGGAAAATAAACTCATGTTTACGTAATAGCGTAAAAACAGGATTTTTTTGATATCGCTTTTTTTGTTTTGTTTTCTTTTTTGAAACACAAAAATAAAAATATGTAAGCTAATATAATTCGGTTTTTTTTAAAAGAAATTATATATAGCACAAGGGAAAATCGAGACGATATAAAATGTCAACTAGTATCTTAAGTGGAATAATCGTTCAAAAGTTCTGGAAATCTTACTCTTCTTCCAGAACGCGTTGTTTTGGGTTTATTTTCGGATACTGTCGAAGTATCAACGTGTGTGTCTGCTGTCGATTGAGGTATTATAAGGGCAGGAGTTGTGTCGTGCGATTGTATTGAAGGAAAATCGACGTGAATAGGATTTCCTTCTAAATACGCTGCTTTGAGACGATCGATACTGATGCTTTCGTTGGTTCCGTTCTTATCGATTATATAGTACTTAGATTCGCGTTGAAGAACTTTGAAAGGTCCTTCATATGTTGATTCGAGAGGTCGTTGATGTGAGTCTCGACGTACCAAGACGTGTGTACTATGTCGTAAGTCAGGTAGAACGAAAACATCAGTTGATTGTGGTCGAGTGGAAACAGGTTTAACTGAACGCATTGAGTTTGTAAGCCTGTTCGCGTAGGAGGTTAGATCCATGTTCATCGAAGAGGATGAAGGATCCATGAATTCTCCTGGAAGTCGAAGGGTTGTACCATAAACGAGTTGAGACGCAGTGTATCCAGAGTCAGCTTTCACTGCATTGCAAATACCTAGTAAGACGAGTGGAAGAGCGTCAGCCCACTGAGAAATGTTTGAGGCTGATAGTGACGCTTTCAGTTGTCGGTGAAAACGTTCTACTAACCCGTTTGCTTGTGAGTGGTAGGCCGTCGTTCGGAAGCGAGTGATTCCTAATTTTGCGGTCAGACAACGGAAAAGTTCAGATTCAAACTGACGTCCACGATCTGTAGTGATGGTTGTTGGGCAGCCGAAGTTTGCTACCCATCGTTCGACGAAGGCGTGGGCCACTGTTTCAGCAGTAATATCTTTGATGGGTACTGCTTCTGGCCATCGAGTAAAACGGTCTACTCGGTTTAAAAGATAAGAATATCCATTTGAATCTGGTAAAGGTCCTACCAAATCCAAATGAAAATGGTTGAAGC